TACTGTTTCAGTTTCAAAGACGGAATATTCTGGACAAAAATGGACAATTGTAACTAAAGCTGGGAATGACAATACAATCAGACTAGCAAGGGCAAGTCAGTCATAACTAAATTTACAACTATTACTTCCCATTGCAAAAAAACATTTCACGTTTAGCACACAAAGTAACCGGAGACCTTAAGTTTAAAGTGAAACTGACAGCGTTTTAACTACTTTGCAGATATGAAACAAACAGACAATCATAATATCAGTAAAACATATCCAATTCCCAGTTTATGCTACAAAACCAACTTTATAAGAGGTTTTAAAAATAGGTTCTATTTGACTCAATGTTCCATGATGTACACTAAGGCATTGTTGGCAGAATAGATGGATGCAGTTCAATGCATGAATAATATAATTCACCAATACATTTCTTGGTAGTCCAACATTTTTTGCTATCAGGTTGTAAATCACATCTGGCCTGGTACATTGTTTGCGGCCTCCATTCGGGATGCACTGTTTCAGTTTCAAAGACTGAATATTCTGGACAAAAACTGACGATTGTAACTAAAGCTGGGAATGACAATACAATCAAAATAGCAAGGGCAAGTCAGTCATAACGTGGCTAATAGGCTAGCGTATCTATTTATGTAGCAAGCTAAAAACACTGAGGCTAACGTTAGGTAGATAGCTAGCTAGCTACTAGGAGGATGTCATGTCATGCCATTGGAGGAGTGGGGGAGTGACTGACATTTTTCGGTAGCTATACACAGCTAGAGATGCAGGTGTCATTTGGTTAGCTAGCAAGAACTTGAACGACTGTTATACAGTTAGCATATCTCTTGCATTCGCAAATTCACTCTGGCTATCTACTCCGATTTCAGAGCACTCTCCTCTGAGTGTGCCAGAGCGCAGAACAACTGATTAATTTACCAACGTGCAACAACTGCTGAATATGACCGGTGTCAGTAAACAGGCATAAAAAGTAATAGTCAAGAACGCTCTAGATAAAATGTAAACAGCCCAAACAGCTCTGCTACGGCGAGTCAAATAGTCAGAGTGAGGTGTTCTCTCATTTATGTCTGGAAGTAGCTAGCTAGCAAGATAGCCAACTTTAGCCAGTTAGCTTGGATGCTTGTCTGGGACAAGAATGCATTGGCAGGCAAGCTGCAGAAAGACGAGGAGGCTACAATTCAAATTTACCTTTTCATGGTTGTTTGATCAATAGGACTGTAAAGTTCCCAAAAATAAGAGGACTCCTGTGGTGTTTACATATTTGCAGAAATCCATTCAGGTGTATTTTGTGGCTTTTGGCGAATGTGTTCTAATGATCTAAAGTCGCGCTGTTGCAACTGCCTGTAAACACAAAGTCCAGTTCAAAGTGAATGATTGCAGGCCCCTGTGGCAAATGACTTGTTTGTATAAAGGTCTACTGTAGCTCTGATTGGCTTAAGCGCACCGGTCTGTGTAGACTCCGGTCCTGGACAAGACAGATGTTTTTATTCTGTTTTATTTACTGCAGTGTCTATTAATTGTCCAAATGCACGGCCACTTTCCCACTCTATATTGCTATAGAATTTTCACAAATGCCTTAGTTTACGTAATTCCCAAACATTCTAGGAATGTATGAAAACGTGAAAATTACCATATCCTGGGGGTGTATATGAACAGATTTTAATAAGATTTCATGTTGCTGTCAGTTCCACTTTAAATGATAATAAAATAATAATAATATGCCATTTAGCAGACGCTTTTATCCAAAGCGACTTACAGTCATGTGTGCATACATTTTTACGTATGGGTGGTCCCGGGGATCGAACCCGACAATGTTTCACACACACACAAGTTATTTTCAAAGAGATGGCTAACAACAGCATGCACGCTGCAATAAAAAACAGTTCCACTCACCAGATGATGATAATTTGAAACGTAACTTGTTGAAAGTTATTCTTGAAAAGGGAGAAGCTAACAAATTAGCAACAGCATCCTCTTTGATAACATCTGCTGCAGCCGCTGCAAACTAGCCGACAACAAAAGCTAGCTAGCTAGACCGTGGGAAAACTACTGCTCACTATTGCGCAGTGACCTGTTGACCTTCAAGAAGGCAGAAGTATTCATACATTTTTGTAAAAACGGTCCCACTCATTAAGTCAAAATGTGATTGGTTGATTCCACTGTCACTCCAAAGTTTTGCCCTAAAACAGTTGAATGGCAGATGCCTTATCTAGCTTCTGATGGCCTAGCCAATGGCTGACTTAGCTAGCTAGATGTATCTTCCCAGAGACCAGCAAAGACAAATCCTTCAGTGTTAACCCTTTATCTTTTCCAACAAAAACTGAAGAGATTAAATCAGAACATCATTGAAAATAATAATATAATTATCATTTTTTTATTATTATAATCATTATTTTATAAATCCTTAGCCCTTCACTGAAGGCGTATTGTTGTCCACTGTGTTTGGGTTAGTAATAATTTGTAGAGTGGCTTCCCTCAGCATGCATTTTTTTCGCTATTCTGAATGTCTAAAGAATCCATATGTTATTCCAAACACAGTGGGCATAATGGGACACATGTCGTCCCAAAAGTTATACTTTTGACTCATCTGTCCATGGAACATTCTTCCAAGAGTCTTGATGATCTTCCAGGTGCTTTTTGGCAAAAACTTGAGTCAACTTTTTGGGCAAGATAGGTCCCGTAATGTCTGGCGAAAACCAAACTGTCTGAGAGCTGAAGCTGAAGAGCAGCTGTGTCATGCAGCAAGACAATGATCCTAAACACACAATCAAGTCTACATGAAAATGGTTACAAAGCAACACATTTGACGTTTTGGAATGGCCTAGTCAAAGTCCAGACCTAATCCCAATTCAGATGTTTGGGCAGGACTTGAAACAAGCAGTTCATGCTTGAAAACCCACAAATGTCACTGAGTTAAAGCAGTTCTACATGCAAGAGTGGGCCAAAATTCCTCCACAGCGATGTGAGAGACTGATCAACAACTACAGGAAGCATTTAGTTGCAGTCATTGCAGCTAAAGGTGGCACATCCAGTTATTGAGTGTAAGAGGGCAATTACTTATTCACACAGGGGAATTGGGTGTTGCTTAACTTTGTTAATTAAATAAATAAAATAAGTATAACATTTTTTGTTATTTGTAAACTCAGGTTCCTTTGATCTAATATTAGGTTTTGGTTGAAGATCTGATAACATTCAGTATCAAAAGTAGAGAAAATCAAAAAGGGGACAAATACTTTTCACGGCACTGTAGGCTATTTATATTAGTATTCAAAAGTATGAATTTGACTTTTCTTTTCATTTTCTAAGGTATTATCTTAGCTGTACTGCTAAACTTGATGTAAAGAAGTGACATTTTATATAATTGTGAAATATGTCTAAATACCATATAAGGTTTAAAGTACTGCGTTACAACTAACACACCACATAGGAGCCTATGCTTATCTAAATCTTGTGAGAAAATACAACAATATTGTCATCAACTATACAAATATAAAATGGAGAATGTTCCAAAGGTCAAACATTTAAAAAAAGAGAGACGGAAGGATATTTACTTTAGGGTCTCAAAACCCATTTTTTGTCAACAAAACAAAAGATAATAGATGGATTTAAACAAACTTCTTAGGCATGTAGAGACACTAACCAAGCATTAGCACATTGAATAACATTCAATTATCAGGCTGTTACAACTGACCCTGTGTAACTTCGTTCCCTGGTCTCCTCATAGATATAGCACTGTTCAAAATCTCAAGTGCGGGAATGACAACATTTTATTGACATTTTACTACTGTAGTAGCTTACCTGTTTCATTGTCTGGTTTTTGTCTGGACCTGTCAGGTAAGGTATGAGGAAAGGTTCTATAGGTTTCACAGTACTGAAGAACCCATAGATGCACAGCAGAGTAGTGGGATAGCCCCATCCTGCCCTCCACCGCTTCAAAGCCTCCATTCTCACAGATCCACAGAGATAGTCACCAGTGTCACCACACAACTTCATGACTTTCACCTGCTGAGGTTTTGCTGCTTCACCTGCCCAGATGAGTCTGCTCTCTCATGTCACATATGCAGGAGTTTACCTGCTCAGATTTAGCTGTGTTACCTGTCCAGGCTAATCGGCTCCCTACTATAATACTATAGAAGTAGCATACTATCCTCAGGTTGTTTGTGTAATCGCTGAGCTCTGTCTGTCAAGCAACAGCTTGCTCAAAGGGCACTACTTCTGGTCCCCTCACACACGTTGCTTCTAGAACTGAGACGAGCGCAATGAATCATACCTGCATATCAGCTGTACACCTTATCTTTTTTAGTTTACTTATAGAGTAGTTGGAGTAGGCTAAATCATGCTTATGCAACATGTACCCACTGGACAAAACTGCTTGAATCAATGTTGTTTCCATGTCATTTCAGCCACAAATATCTATGTGATCAAATAGTGACTAAAGTTCAGAGCAGGTTACTGGGCGGAGGCCGGCTAGTGGTGACTATTTAACAGTCTGATGGCCTTGAGATCTTCTTGGCCTTCCTGTGACACCGGGTGCTGTAGATGTACTGGATGACAGGCAGTGTGCCCCCGGCGATGCGTTTGGCAGACTGCACCATCCTCTGGAGAGCCCTGCGGTTGCGGACGGTGCAGTTGCCGTACCAGGCGGGCATACAGCCCGACAGGATGTTCTCAATGGTGCATCTGTAGAAGTTTATGAAGGTCTTAGGTGCCAAGCCAAATTTCTTCAACCTCCTGAGGTTGAAAAGGCACTGTTGCGCCTTCTTCACCACACTGTCTGTGTGGGTGGACCATTTCAGATTGTCAGTGATTTGTACACCGAGGAACATGAATTTTATTTTAATTATAAATACAAGTACACAGAGCACCATGACATTAGCTTTTAAAGTAAAAGTTTGGTGAGACACCTTGCCCCCCTCAGTTTTGGACAGATTAATGTCTGTGGTCAGAACCGGTCAGATGAAAACACTTTTACTTTGGGTTCTTCTTTTTGGTCCACTGCATGTTCAACCTTGCAGTGGTGAACACAGGGTTGGACTTGGAGGCTCCTCTGCAGTGGTGGAGTCTCTGTGGCTTTGCCGCACTCTCATAATCGTGTACACACCCCTCAGGAAAAAAATGACAGCGATGGCTGAGAAGTAGCTTCCATAAATGATGAACTGCAAGAAAGAGTGGAAAAGCATTAAGCTTATTTTTCAGTTACACAGTTGAGATAAAAAATAATAAAACAATGTTTTGAATGAGCCAGATATTTAACGCTGTTTTTTTGGACAAACACCTAGGACAGTTCATAACATCCAAGGCAAAAGTCCAGGTACAGTGGCTTGCAAAAGTATTCACCCCCCTTGGCATTTTTCCTATTTTGTTGCCTTACAACCTGGAATTAAAATTGATTTTTTTGGGGGGTTTGTATCATTTGATTTACACAACATGCCTACCACTTTGAAGATGCAAAATATATATTTTATAACTATTTATTTTTTCTTTAAGGAATGGCTTTTTTCTTAAAGTGGTCCTATGGACAGATACTCCAATCTCCGCTGTGGAGCTTTGCAGCTCCTTCAGGGTTATCTTTGGTCTCTTTGTTGCCTCACTGATTGATGCCCTCCTTGCCTGGTCTGTGAGTTTTGGTGGGCGGCCCTCTCTTGGCAGGTTTGTTGTGGTGCCATATTCTTTCCATTTTTCAATAATGGATTTAATGGTGCTCCGTGGGATGTTCAAAGTTTCTGATATTATTTTATAACCCAACCCTGATCTGTACTTCTCCACAACTTTGTCCCTGACCTGTTTGGAGAGCTCCTTGGTCTTTGTGGTGCCCCTTGCTTAATGGTGTTGCAGACTCTGGGGCCTTTCAGAACAGATGTGTATATATACTGAGATCATGTGACAGATCATGTGACACTTAGATTGCACACAGGTGGACTTTATTTAACTAATTATGTGACTTCTAATGGTAATTGGTTGCACCAGATCTTATTTAGGGAGTTCATAGTAAAGGGGGTGAATACATATGCACACACCACTTTTCCGTTATTTATTTTTTAGACTTTTTAGAAACAAGTTATTTTTTTCATTTCACTTCACCAATTAGGGCTATTTTGTGTATGTCCATTACATGAAATAAATAAAAATCAATAATGGATAATGACATTGTTGGATGAAATTGCACCGCTGGGGGTTGTCATGGAAGGGTTGTGATCTAATGGTTTGTAGGGTTTTTGACACTTGAACCTTTAACTCACCTGTGGGATGATGCCCAAGCCAAGCCCCCTGCCATCCACCACAATGGAAGTGATGATAGTCTGAAGGATCAAAGACCCAAAGTTGTTTGCTCCAAAGATCAGTGCATATCTCTCCATAGAGAGGTCAGTAGCAATTTGGAACCTGGGAGGAAATGATCACGTTTGTTCTTGCTAAATAATCATTCAAGTTTGGCACCTACATTTTTCTAATGGCAGTAATTCACAAACTCACATGGCAAATGTGATAAGCAGCATGTAGAGGCCCTTAAAGGCAACATAGCCGGCATAGCAGACCCAGATGTTGTCAGTGAAGGTCATGATGAACAGGGCTGCAGCACCCAGGCCAGAGAAGGAGCCCAGGAACAACTCTCCCCACTGGGCCCAGTCCACCTGGATGAAACCAATGCCATAGGCTGTCGCTGCACCTGTAAGTCACACACATGATGTGATAAACTTACCATGAAGTAAATACATGTTAGTAGTATGACTGCAGATTGACTGTTGATGATGATTGATTATTAATGCCAGACAAACATCTACAAATACCCAATGGTCATGTGTATTCCAATAGTTGGTGCTTCACTACTCACCGAACAGGTTGGACACAGCTTCCACCCCTCCGTTGTAGACTGTGACTTTCTGGGATGGCTGTATGTGCTTCCACAACACCTGTACATAGGTAATTGCCAGGTTGTAGCCGCAGGTGGCCAGTACCCACCACACTGACCAGTACAGCAGTGCCCTGGTGGAGTAGCACTGGAGAAAGTCTCTCCACAGCAGCAGGAATACCTGGCTACAGCCCCTAGCCCTCACTGGCCCCTCAGTGGACACATTACCTGCACACCTGTCCCCTTCTTCTGGGGTCTGTGGTGGTTCACTTTGACTCAGATGGAAGAACATGCTTCTCTGTGGCATGGGCAGGAAGAGGGAAGTCACCAGGGCAATGGAGATCAACACCAGGGAAAGTACCAGGATGTTGTTGTAGGACATGAGGTTGAAACTGACCAGCAGCTGTCCCAGCACAGAGCCCACCGTGTAGCCTAGCAGCTGTACACTACGGCAGTAGGATGTAGCCTTGCGGTAGTATTTCAGGTCCACTATGCTATAGATGTATGAGAAGTAGGCCACCTCACAGGCCGACTTCACGCCGTAGAAGAACTGCATCGCCTTAAAGGCTGCCACCTCCTGCACCAATAGCATCATCGCCCAGGTTATGAAGAGGTTGATGCACTGAAACACCATGACGGGCTTGTAGCGCAGCCAATCGGTGAGCAGAAAGACTGGCACCATCGCAGCCAGGTAGGAGTATGTCCACACAGGGTAGATCTCGTTGGTCACCTGCGTTAGAGTGCAACACTGCTGTCTGTTTGGGAGGTTGCAACATTGCAGAACATTCAGATAGATAATGTATTGATTGTAGCGACCTTAACCCAACACCTAGCGAGCAACGCAGCGACCTCATCAAGAGGTTCAGATCTCTTGCCGTAAAGGCTAAGGTGTTGGGTTGACAGCTGCAAGGTCACAAGTTCAAACCGTGGTCCGGACTACTTCCTGACCTCACTACATCAGTTGCGGCCATCAAAAACATGGGGGCAAGTGCGAGGAATTTACAGCATGAAGTGGGTAGTGTAGCGAGCACAATGCAACACCTAGCAACCTCATCAAGAGGTTTGGATCTCTTGGGATAACAAATAAAGTGTTGGGTTGACAGTCGTAAGGTCCTGGGTTTAAGGTTAAAGCCTGGGTTGGGACTACCCCCTGATTCCCTACAGTATTGTGTAGAACAGAAATGATTGTCATAGAATCAAGAATCGTGTCCACTCTGTTTATTACATTGTTTTGTTCTGAACATTTCCCTTCACTGGATACACCCCTGGTTTCAAGAGCATTTTCTCCCTTGCTTTTCCTTTTCTTTATCAATCTGGTAGGTAATAAATTGGTCATATACATGGTTTCATTACTGATAAAGTTGAAAAGGCACGGATACAAAATTCAAGAAATCGATACACTCCTCTTAAGAGAATATAAGAGTATGAAGACAATGCATTGAAATGTTTGTCCTGTAGTCTACTGTACCTGTTCCATCGTCAGGTTTTTGTCTGGGCCAGTCAGGTAAGGGTAGATGAAGGGTACGAGAGGTTTCACAGTACTGAAGAACCCATAGACGCACAGCAGAGTGGTGGGATAGCCCCATCCTGCCCTCCACCGCTTCACAGCCTCCATACTTACAGATCCACAAACAGCGATAGCCAGTACTATCACCTACACAAGTTTTTATACTTTATACGAAAAGCACGTTTATCGCTTTACCTGCTCAGGTTAGTCTGCTCTCTCTCACACTACTCGTAATCCTGTCTAGTCCCCATACGGAAGTCACCTCGGTTTGTTTGTGAAATCAGTGAGCTCAGTCTGTCAATCAATAACCTGCTCAATAAATGTATGCAATAACTAAAACGCTAGATAGACAATGCATATTTAACATGGCCATGCCTATCAATTGAACACACCTTATCTTTTGGATGACTTAAAGAGAAGTTGGACAAAACAATGCTTACACAACATTTGTTTTATTTTGATTATAAATACATGTAATACCATGAAATTCAATTTTAGGGTGAACCCTTGAAGACTCCTTGCCCCCCTCAGTCTCTGATAGTCTATTGTCTGTGGTCAGAACAGAACCGGTCTGAGGAGGGCATCTCCACTTTGGGATCTTCTTTCTGCTCCTGGTCCTGGTCCATTGCCTGCTAAGGCCTGCAGTGGTGTGCACAGGCTGTGTACATCCCTCGGATCAGGAAAAGCACAGATATTGCTGCATAGTAGCTGCCATAGATGATGAACTGGAGAAAGGGAAATTAAACGTTGGTTTGAATAGAGGGGTCAAGAACAGTAATAATGTAGTAATAATTATCCACCACATGTCACTCTCTCTTCACTTTTGGTAACTTGTGCAGTGATCAGTTAAAGGAATGGGTATTTGGCCTTTCTAGCTCTGGATTGTGCAACCATACCTGTGTGACAATGTCTAGCCCCAGTGCAGTTTCATCAACAACGATGGCTGTGAGAATGGTCTGCAGCAAGAGGGCGACAAAAGTGTTGACTCCGAACGTTAGAGCATAGCACGCCATGGAGAGGTTGGATGCAATCTGGAATCTGTAAGGACAAAACAAATAACACTTTGTACTGAATATTTTCATTATGCGGTTCTGATGAATGTCTATGGGATGCATGGAAGGTATATTAAATAAATATATCAGAGCTCATTGAAGTATGGCCTAGAGAGTATTCAGCACTTACGTAGTGATGGTGATCAGCAGTATGTAGGAGGCCTTGAAGATGACGTAGCCAGCATAGCTTGCCCAAATGTTGCTGTTGAGCCCAATCAAAAACACGGCCCCTGCCCCCACCGCAGAGAACACCCCCAGTGACAGCTCCCCCCAGACATCCCAGGTCACCTTCACATGACCCACACAGAAGGCTGCCGCTGCACCTATAGGACAGGGATGGGACAACAACAGTGAATTATTTCCTTTTTAGATCCTGAGTAAATACTTGTAAACTGTTTAAATACTTGTAAACTGCATCCTCCCTTCATTGAAGCAATTGCTGGGTTAAAGCATATGATTCAATACATGGCTTTCATCAATCAATCAATCAATCAAATGCATTTATAAAGCCCTTTTTACATCAGCAATTGTCACAAAGTGCTTATATAGAAACCCAGCCTAAAACCCCAAAGAGCAAGCAAGGCAGATGTAGAAGCACGGTGGCTAGGAAAAACTCCCTAGAAAGGCAGGAACCTAAGAAGAAACCTAGAGAGGAACCAGGCTCTGAGGGGTGGCCACTCATCTTCTGGCTGTGTCGAGTGGAGATTATAAGAGTACATGGCCATTAAGGCCAGATCGTTCTTCAAGATGTTGAAGATCCAGTCATATCAGATCAGTGGTTACCCCAAGCAAGGACGGATGCGAAATTTGAAGAATTCGAACAGAACCCTGATCGTATTCCTAGGGGCAGAAGTGTTTCTACCATCATTTATCAGGACAGTATAACGTCTCTATCCCTGAACACATAGGATCAAGGACAGGGCTTTGATTTAATTAAAGGGATACTTCAGGATTTTGGCAATGAGGCCCTTTATCTACTTCCCCAGAGTCAGATTGACTTGTTACGATAAGTCACTATCTCTCAAACCCAAGCTATCAGCAATAATCAGAGAAATCGTTAACCAAGCTATCACCTTAATTAAAGCAATTACTCTTCTCTGTGTGCAGAGCCCAACTTGGACCAAAGCGAAGATGACCATGGAACTACTTTGCCTTAAGCCAATCAAAACACATTACCCATTTAATCATGGACCACATATAAATCAGATTGTGAGACCAACATTCAGCTGTGTCCTGGACATTTTTGAATTTTACTAGTCTATTTTTATTCAGTAATAAAAAAAATTATTAGCATTGTAAAATTCACCAACCGGTAAACCCCAAAGCACAGCTACTCCACTGAACACACACACACACACACACAGTCCTGAGACTGTCTTACCTACAACTGCACAGATGGCCTCGACCCCTCCATTGTAGACAGAGGAGGTGCTGGATGGCTCTATGTGGTCCCACATCAGCTGGATGTAGTTGAACACCTGGCCGTAGCCGGCCGTGGCTAGAGCCCACCACAGAGACCAGTAGACCAGCTTCCTAGAGGAGTAGGACTCTCTGAAGCTGCTCCAGAGCAGCCTGCCAGCATAGACCACATTATGCAGGCTGCACCAGCCAGTACTACCCCCGTCACCCTGGGTCTTATCCGACCCAGCACCATCCTCCATGGCCTCCTCTGCCTCCTGTGCCTCCTCCACTGCACTCGCCTCCTCCCCCACCTGGCCCTTGGCGCTCAGGTCCAGGACAGCCTTCTCCCCCCTGAAGAACATCCCCTGCTGGGGCATGGGTAGCCAGATGGAGATGAGGAACGCAACACTGAGGATCCCCAGGGAGATGGCGTTGAGGTAGAAGTAGTCCAGCCCTGCCAGGGAGACCAGCAACTGGCCTAGAGTGGCCCCTAGGGTGGAACCTGTCAGCATGGCACTGCGGAGGTAGCCGGTGGCCCGCTGGTACCTCTCTGGAGGGATCACGCTGTAGATGTAGGAGAAGTAGGCCACCTCCGTGGAGGTCACCACGGCATAGTTGAACTGCAGGAAGGTCATGGCGGTCAGGCCGGGGGCAAAGCATAGCAGGACATAGTTGGTGACCAGGAAGAGGCCCTGGACCACGATCACCGGCTTGTACCTCAGGAAGTCTGTCAGCAGGAAGACGGGGAAGAGGACGGCCAGATAGGAGTACGTCCAGATGGGGAACAGGTAGTTGGTCACCTGAGGAGGCACAGGGAGAGGAGTGATTCATTTATCGTTAGATCTAGTCAATATCCACAGGGATACTGAATAGTCCTACCGATCCTCTGTATGAAGCAAAAAAATAACATAGCCCACTGTATACAGTAGCATATACACTATATATACAAAAGTATGTGGACACCCCTTCAAATGACTGGATTCTGCTATTTCAGCCACACCCGTTGCTGACAGGTGTATAAAATCGAGCACACAGCCATGCAATCTCCATTTTAGCAGACACTCTTATCCAGAGCGACTTACAGTTAGTGAGTGCATACATTTTTATTTTTTATACTGGAATCGAACCCACAACCCTGGCGTTGCAAATGCCATGCTCTACCAACTGAGCTACATCCCTGCCGGCCATTCCCTCCCCAACCCTGGACCAATTGTGCACCGCCCCATGGGTCTCCTGGTCGCGGCCGGCTACGACAGAGCCTGGATTCGAACCAGGATCTCTAGTGGCACAGCTAGCACTGCGATGCAGTGCCTTAGACCACTGCGCCACAATTGGTCCATAGACAAATATTGGCTGTAGAATGGCCTTACTGAAGATGGCCTTTTAATGTGGCACCGTCATAGGATGCCACCTTTCCAACAAGTGTTCAAATTTCTGCCCTGCTAGAGCTGCCCCGGTCAACTGTAAGTGCTGTTATTGTGAAATGGAAACGTCTAGGAGCAAAACGGCCGCGAAGTAGTAGGCCACACAAGCTCACAGAATGGGACCGAAGAGTGATGAAGCGTGTTAAAATCGTCTGTCCTCGGTTGCAACACTCACTACCGAGTTCCAAACTGCCTCTGGAAGCAACGTCAGCACAATACTTGTTTCGTTGGGAGCTTCATGAAATGGGTTTCAATGACCGAGCAGCCGCACACAAGCCTAAGATCACCATGTGCAATGCCAAGTGTCAGCTGGAGTGGTGTAAAGCTCGCCGCCATTGGACTCTGGAGCAGTGGAAACGCGTTCTCTGGAGTGATGAATCACGCCTCACCATCTGGCAATCCGACGGACAAATCTGGGTTTGGAGGATGCCAGGCGAACGCTACCTGCCCCAATGCATAGTGCCAACTGTAAAGTTTGGTGGAGGAGGAACAATGGTCTGGGGCTGTTATTCATGGTTCGGGCTAAACCCTTTAGTTCCAGTGAAGAAAAATCTTTATTTAATACAATGACATTCTAGACGATTCTGTGCTTCCAACTTTTTGGGGAAGGCCCTTTCCTGTTTCAGCATGACAATGCCCCCGTGCACAAAGCGAGGTCCATACAGAAATAGGTTGTCGAGATCGGTGTCGAAGAACTTGACTGGCCTGCACAGAGTCCTGACCTCAACCTCATCGAACACCTTTGGGATGAATTGTAACGCCGACTGCGAGCCAGGCCTAATTGCCCAACATCAGTGGCCGACCTCACTAATGCTCTTGTGGCTATATGGAAGCAAGTCCCTGCAGCAATGTTCCAACATCTAGTGGAAAGCCTTCCCCGAAGCGTGGAGACTGTTGTAGCAGCAAAGGGGGGACCAACTCCATATTAATGCCCTGATTTTGGAATGAATGTTCGACGAACAGGTGTCCACATACTTTTGGTCATGTAGTGTATTTCCTTCTATCATTATAGTGTGCATCATTTACTTTCTTATCACAGCCTTGTTAACAAATCCCATCAAAATGGATAATGTGTAGCATACAGCTCTCTGCTGCTGGTTACTTTACCACTTCCTCCGAGATGTTCTTGTATGGTCCAATAAGGTATGGTGTTAGGAAGGGCTCAGCTGGTCTGCAGTTAGCGAAGAACCCATAGAGCGACAGCATGGCTGTGGGAAACACCCAGCCAGTGGACTTTAGCTTGGTCCAGCAACCCATCCTGGTAGCCTACTCCTTCTGCCCCTCTCATGTGCAAGACCTCTTGGTCTGAGTCCTGTGTACCAATGGTGTCTGTTGGCAGTAAGCAGCTGTAGATCCTTGTCGGGGAAATAAATGTATGAATTTAGTCTGTATCTATGAACTACATGTGCATAACTGCAAATGCAAGTTTATATGAGGGAGACTTTGAGCTCTTGGGAAATAGTCCCACTGATGATAAAATGAAAGCTTATGTCAGCCTCAGTTATCATGACACAGATTTTTACAAGTTTTTCAAGTCTCTGTTGTTGACTTTATGTACATGTTATTAATTTTTTTTGTGCACAGTTATGGAACAAGTTCTGTCTTTTTTGAACAGGTTAGTTGTGGCTGAGTTGTGCGTTTCAGTCCATCTGCGCATGCGTCTTGGCCGCGCTCTAACTAGTCTGTCGCCATAACAACGCTTTGTTGACAAGGGATTTCTGCTGTAGAAGCGAAATGAAACTCAAACGATTCCTTCTCAGATATTATCCACCAGGTAATAAACATGTTTTTGATGATACTAAGATGCTTTATAATTAAGATACTAAGGAATGTTTGGACAAGCAGCTAGCAAATTATTTGTAGCGTTTTGTGCAACTACACTGCAACTTTAGTGCTGTTCTGACCTAGAGTTAGCTGGCTAGGGTAGCCAAGAGCAGAGCTAGGTCTCTGTTCTAGCCAGACCAGTTAGCTGTTACAGCAATTTAATGCATGATGCACAAGTTGATGCCAGTTGAAGTTACAAGTAGGCCTAAAGTAACTTGTATCTCACACTTGGTCTTGTTTCGAATATTGAATTGATGCCTTTTGTTCACAGGTATCATCCTGGAATATGAGAAAGGAGGAGCTCTGAAGACTAAATCCATTGATCTGTTGGATTTGTCTCCAGAGTGGGTAGACAATAGTACAATTCATGTTTAAGAATGAGATGCTGTGTTTCGTGATCATGATATGTACAGGGCTGCCAACTTTTTAAGAACGCTTGGAGGTTGATTTGCTATGTGAATTTCATTGCCCCCTGGCACAACCCCTAGAGGGTGGACTGGCGGTCCTCCATCAGGAAAATTGTACTGGTTTAAAGCAAATTTCCTGCAATTCTACGTATTTTGACATGACAGGCCTATGACCAGGGTGAAAACCCCCCCACAAAAAACACAGGTCAGGTGTATTGAGGATGCTTTGAACATTAAATGAACACTCAAAATTCGACTCCTTTGTTACTTTAATATTTTTGGGGGGATGACATTTAAAGTATGCCAATATTTTTTTAGGTGGTTTGACACTTAATTCAGACAGTAATTAAATGCTATAAACAGTGGGAAGGTTGGTAGCAGGGACACGTACCTGGGAGTGTTACCACTACACCAATGCTCTGCACAGGAAATGTAAATATTAATGGTCGATGGCAGTGGGTAACCAAATCATAGATTGCAGTCTCCTTGTCCATAGACTGCTTTCAAGGTAAGGGCACAAACATTTTGTAATTTGGGTGAACCATCCCTTTAAAATAGGGCTGGAAGAAAATCATTCATTTTCAAAGACACAAGTAGGCATATCAGATTTCAAATATGTGATTACACTGGCAAAATTGGGAGGAAGTGGAATAATAAAATACATTTGGGGAATAAGTAGTGTTCTTGCTGACAAGCACAGTAATTACCCTATATTTTAGCTAATTGTTAAGAATGAGAATTGTTCCACTGATCAGACAAAATAAAGTAAATTGATAATAAAATCTGAAGACAAGACGACATAAATCTGCCCCTACACCCTAACCAAATTATGTTTCTATTTATTTTCCCACTCTAGAATCAAACATGCACTTTTGGGTTCACAATCTGTTTGACAAAATTATTTTTATAGTTACAAAAGGTCACCCTACCAAACTTCCCTGCTAAAACACACTGTAGGTCTGTCTGCTGCCTTCTTTTCATTGTCACAGCCTAAAAGCAAATCACCAAACGAGGGGGCTAAAGCAAGTGTGGATTAAATCGACTTTAGTACATGCTGTCAAAAGGCTACATTCTGCAATAGATTCATGGACAGGAGTAACAGTAACCTAATTTTGTTGACAACATTTTACATTAAACAGTGCTACCGTGCTGCTCTTTTTACAGTTTTATAAACTCAGCGAAGAGACTTTCTCCATTCAGCTCCACTCTAGTCTTGAGGGGCGTTTCTTTAAAACATGCATCCAATCCCCCTGATCCCTCACATAACTATACCAATCATATGCTTCAATGTGACGCGGTTTACGGTGCTGTGGCAAGACAGGGCAATGATAGAGGTTCTGCTCGTGATGTTAAATTGTAGGCGCAGATGCTCTGATTTCAAAACAATTTGGAACACAGTTGAAAATGTAATCCGATGACTAATTAGAAAAATAAAAGCTGTAGTTTTCAATGCAGGAGATATAAGAGGAGGGTCAAATGCGTGTGTCTCAATGCCAATGCGGGAGAGTTGGCTGCTCTGTATGGATGCCATTGATTATACTAGTGCTGGTGTAGTATGAGGATGATGATGATGATGATACAGGTAGAAAAACACACCCACTAGTTCTTCAGAACTTCATCACTGATCCTGCAATACAGTATGACGTCTATTCCCCTTTTTTCAACGACCATGATGCATCACTCTGACACGTCTCTATCCATACAGGACAGACACCGAGGAGTTAATATCAGAGATCAGGAAATCGGAGCCACTAATCACAGCATCACGCGTCGACCAAGTCAAACTCTTGATCGTCAGACTGCAGGAGAAACTGGGTCAGCAGGACAACCGCAGGTTCTACCTCTTCAAGGTCAAATACAGCTTCCATCTTTCTGAGCTACCTATTTATTTTCATTAGGCTCTCTTCTTAATGATACTGTCATTGTCTGGCTCCTGATCGTCCACTCTTGTGTCCAAGTGCACACTTTGGGAAAAGGGTGAATAATTGGGATGCAGCCATAGACGGCCATTAACAGGCATGACCACACTGCCAGTGCCTTGTGTAAACAGTACAGCCATACTGTAATTCCTAATTTGAACCCTAGATGGCAGCAGGGGGTGGGAATTCTATAAGAATTCTAGAATAACAGGACTCTTCCTTAGCACATCAAAGCCAGATGTATTATGTATGGATATTACACAGTCAAACGTATAGATGTAAATTGAATTAATGCAGTCAAGTAAACTGCCTCAGAGTTAAAAAATAAAATAAAAAAAGTCCTCCTCCCTTCTCCCTTGCAGGCGCTGCAGGCACACATACTGCCACTGACGAACGTTGCCTTCAATAAATCAGGGTCGAGGTAAGTTTATCTGCACTGCATGGAGATGTGCAGAGAACCCCAGGTGTTTGTCTTTCTGGGGTGTAGGAGAGGTAAACAGATCTCTCTTTTTACACTCTGTCTCTTATCTCTCTCTTTCTTTATCCTTTTCTCTCTCTCTTTCTCTGTTTCTCCCTCTCTCTCCCCCCTCTCGCTATCTCTCCCTCTCTCTGTGTCTCTCTATCTCTCCCTCTCTCTCTGCAGTTTCATAACTGGGAGCTATGACAGGACATGTAAAATATGGGACACAGCGTCAGGCGAGGAGCTGCATACACTGGAGGGCCACAGGAACGTGGTGTACGCCATTGCCTTCAACAACCCCTACGGGTAACCACCTTCCTGTCACTCTACCCCAGGTTTAAAAACACCAGGACCTGTATTCATAAATTGTCTCAAGTAGAAGTGCTGATCTGGATCTGGGGACCCCCCGTCCATATAATCTGATTCATTATGATCTAAAAGGCAAAACTGATCCTAGATCAGTACTCCGACTCTGAGACTCTTAGGATAGGCATTAAGCTCTATGGGACCTATGTTCCTCCGTTGTCTTACACTTAAGGCCAAGGGAAAGAGTTGTTGGTGGTTAAAATAAAGCATTTTTCCTATCTCAAATCTTCCGTTTATTTATCCTCTTTAATCCAGGGACAAGATTGCCACTGGGTCCTTTGATAAGACCTGCAGGCTGTGGAGTGCAGAGACGGGCAAATGTTTCCACACCTTCCGAGGACACACTGCGGAAATAGTACGAGGGACTTTCTAATCTAGAGATAGGACTTTCTGAGAAATTGGACTTGTCTTTCAGTATAAATAGGATGCAGTGAGCTTCGAATTAGATTTTCTATGTGAGTGGCAGCTAACACTGTTTTCTGTGCCGACCAGGTGTGTTTGGCATTTAACCCTCAAAGTACCTTGGTGGCCACGGGGAGCATGGACACTACGGCCAAGCTATGGGACGTCCAGACTGGAGAGGAGGTGGCTACACTGACAGTGAGTTAGCTCTCGCTCTCTTTTTCTCATCTCTCTCTCTTTCTCTCTCTTCTCTCCCTTCCTCTCATCTCCACACACTCACAACCATCCAAGTCCACATCCATTCTTTAATGACTTAATTCAGTCATTTATGTGCATTCATCCATTCATTTTTTAATATGATTATTCATGATGTGTTGGTCCAGCAGTCACCCTGCTTACTGTGTGTTCTATCCTCCCATCATATGTGTGTATGCAGCTGTGACTGTACATTCATAAGGTAATCTATCTATCTACATACTCAACTACAGGACAGGCAGCCATTTGTTTCTTCACGTGGGCAAGCTGGGTGGCTGTGTGTTCCAGAAGGGGATTCTGTGTGCTCCTCTCTAGCCCACCTCTCTACCCCTCCTTCTTCAATTATTCCGACATTAGTCATGCTGGTGAATATTGTGACTTGAGCACAAAAAGGCAAATGTGTTCCTCAAACTGAATTGGATGAAAATATGCAATTGAGCTTTTTCAAAGGAGAAAGAATAGCTCATTTACTTGACTGTACTTTTGTTAACTCTGCAAGTGTAACGAATCGAATTCTCTCCTCTCTTTCATGTTTTTTTTTTTGTTCACTGTCTCTTTCTCCCTCTCTCTTTCTTCTCCATCCCTCCCTCCCTCCCTCCTTTCTCTCCTCCCTCTCTCTCTCCTTCCTCTCTCAGGGCCACTCAGCAGAGATCATCTCCTTGTCATTTAACACAGTGGGTGACCAGCTAGTCACTGGATCCTTTGACCACACTGTTTCTCTGTGGGATGTTCCATCTGGGAGGTGAGAGCCCAAGTGTTTGTGTGTGTGTGTGTGTGTGTGTGTGTGTGTGTGTGTGTGTGTGTGTGTGTGTGTGTGTGTGTGTTTGCGTGTCCATCCATGTGTGTGTGTTTGTGTCCGAGTCTAACCACCATTAACGGCCTCCTATCATTCTACCAGGCGTGTCCACACACTGAGGGGACACAGAGGGGAGATCAGCAGTGTTCAGTTCAACTGGGACTGCTCCCTCATCATCACCGGCTCCATGGACAAAAGCTGTAGGGTGAGCTCTCACAAATCTCTCTCACATCCCATCTCACATTATGTCACTTCTCCTATCATCGCTCTCTCTCTCTCTCTCTCTGGTAGAGACTCCTATCTCTTTTAAGCTCTGCATCATTTAAAAAGGAACATTAAATCCTTTAATTATTCCAAGATGAGTCACGCTCTCTGGGTAGTTGTGTGAATTATTCACGTGGCTGCATTCCTAAAGAGGAGATTGTGAAGAGGGGAAAACACAACCATTGTGTCGTTAGAGCGCTAACCAAGCTGGTTGTTTTTGTAAAAGGCTTTTAAAAATAGATTAATTAACATTTGACATTTTGACATTGTGTGTGTGACTGTGTGTGACTGTGTCTGTGTTTGTTTGGGAACGTGTATGTGCGCGCGTGTGTGTGCCCGTGTATGCTTATGTGTGTGCATCTGTGTGTTTGTGTCCTTATGTGTGTGTGTACCGGAACATGTGTGTGTCTATGCTTCCCCAGGTGTGGGAGTCAGCGAGTGGGAAGTGTATGTCCACACTAGCAGGCCATGAAGACGAGGTGCTGGATGTGTGTTTCGACTACACGGGTCAACTCATAGCCACCGCCTCGGCTGATGGTACGACCACAGAGATACTTATCATACTAATGGTGTTCTATTTAAATACGTGGGTACCTCGACCTCTCTGCTGTTTCCATGATTGTCAATACAAAGTTCCTGGATTGAACAATGTCGCAGGCACTGAACAACTATCCGTACTGTACCCAGCCCAGTACCCCTATTTCACACCATCATGCCAACCCAAATCGTACTGTGGTGGCTTGAATATTTATTTTTCACATTGTCCTTTCGAGCACAGTTCCGGCAACTATGGTGTATGACTAACCAGGCCAGCTCTATTTAATTCCTTTTATTTTAAGGTTCAACGTCATCTTCGCTCAAGCAATAACACTGGATTATTTGAGAAATCAATATTTCCCCCTGACTCTTAGGCACAGCGAGAGTGTACAGCGCCGCCAGCTACCAGTGCATCTCCAGACTGGAGGGCCACGAGGGAGAGATCTCCAAGGTGAGTCACTGAGACAGGTAATGGTTCAGGCAGGACCCAAAATGGCCCCTCTCTCGCTGTCTCTTTTGTCTGCCTCGGAGCATCCGTCAGACTCACAAGGGTACAGGACTGGACAGGAGGGATGAGGACGGCAGTCCGCTTGCCGGGGGGATGTTTCTACCTCCTGTTACAGTTTTTAGGTCAACCACGTCTTGACGATGACAGAGAGAAACGTGACTGAAGGTGTGTGTCCCTCAGGCCCGAGTGTTCCAGAAACATCCGGGCTCATCTTCCTGGTCGACCTACAGGCTGATTCCTGGTCTACCTACAGGCTGATTCCTGGTCTACCTACAGGCTGATTCCTGGTCTACCAACAGGCTGATTCCTGGTCTACCTATAGGCTGATTCCTGGTCTACCTATAGGCTCATTCCTGGTCTACCAACAGGCTGATTCCTGGTCTACCAACCGGCTGATTCCTGGTCTACCAACCGGCTGATTCCTGGTCTACCTATAGGCTGATTCCTGGTCTACCTATAGGCTGATTCCTGGTCTACCTATAGGCTGATTCCTGGTCTACCTATAGGCTGATTCCTGGTCTACCTATAGGTTTATTCCTGGTCTACCTATAGGCTGATTCCTGGTCTACCTATAGGTTTATTCCTGGTCTACCTATAGGCTGATTCCTGGTCTACCTATAGGCTGATTCCTGGTCTACCTATAGGTTTATTCCTGGTCTACCTATAGGCTGATTCCTGGTCTACCTATAGGCTGATTCCTGGTCTACCTATAGGTTTATTCCTGGTCTACCTATAGGCTGATTCCTGGTCTACCTATAGGCTGATTCCTGGTCTACCTATAGGTTTATTCCTGGTCTACCTATAGGCTGATTCCTGGTCTACCTATAGGCTGATTCCTGGTCTACCTATAGGCTGATTCCTGGTCTACCTATAGGTTTATTCCTGGTCTACCTATAGGTTTATTCCTGGTCTACCTATAGGTTTATTCCTGGTCTAGCTATAGGTTTATTCCTGGTCTACCTATAGGCTGATTCCTGGTCTACCTATAGGTTTATTCCTGGTCTACCTATAGGCTGATTCCTTGTCTGTGTATAGGCTGATTCCTGGTCTACCTATAGGCTGATTCCTTGTCTGTGTATAGGCTGATTCCTGGTCTACCTATAGGCTGATTCCTTGTCTGTGTATAGGCTGATTCCTGGTCTACCTATAGGCTGATTCCTTGTCTGTGTATAGGCTGATTCCTGGTCTACCTATAGGCTGATTCCTTGTCTGTGTATAGGCTGATTCCTGGTCTACCTATGCTCTGATTCAAAGCAGCCCTGTTAAAGTCTCACTCCCCGAGTTTTTCTGCCTAGCGACTGTGATTCCCCCTTCCCCTGGTAGTCTCATTTGATTGGCACTTTTCATATGATCTTGTCTCAGTTCCCTGTAATGTCACCCCTTGAGCCCTTTAATGTCACACCTTGGTTGTTTTATTAACAAAACACCATGACATAGTCTGTCCCTGCTCACTGTGTAACTGTATTAACCACGGCTGTATAGAGCCACATGTGACCTGGGCCTGTGTTGTAGGTGACCCAGCTGTCCTAAATGTGTGTGTGATCTTATCAGGCTCTGCCATTTGACAGTTCTGCCAGTGTACGTGTGTGTGTGTACGTCTTTGTTAGTATGTATGTGCCTGCATGTTGTGTGTGTATGTGTGCGTGTTTGTCGCTTGGAGCCACAGCCACTAGGGGCCCGATTCAGACATAGGAAATGTACATCTTTCCTACGCACTTCTCAATAGTTTGTATTCAGACTTACCTTATGCAGATGCGTAATGGGCTTTGCAGGCGTGGTTAATATTTTATTAAATAGCTGAAAACCCTCCCACTTCCTTGCCAACCGTTTTTCTCGTGGAGTTTTCATTCAATAGGATTTTCAGTACATTTATCTAAATCCATCCCCTTGTACCTTTTTACTAGAAATGTATTGACAGATTCACTAGAATATATGGAGAGAATGGTTCAGAATATTATGGATCAATGAAAGAAAGCCATGTAAATACGTGCATATTCGTCTCCTTTTCAGCAACAATTGGTAGATTGAAAAATACTCTGATCTTGTATATTATTAAGGGTTAGGAAAGTATTTATGAATAATAAAAAAAAAACAGCTTTGGAGAGCCTTTATGCACAAAATATATTGGTGTATCAAAAATACAGTTGTTTGATTCATCCAGAATAATAATCTTTAAATCTATAAATCTACCCTAATAATCCTCACTAATCATGGAACTGTGATGACAACAGTCCAGTCGTTGTGAAGCGTGCTCCATGTTTAAACAGCTACATATGGTCTGCGTTGCATAATGATTCAAATAGGTTTACATGTACCAAATTAGTGCTCAACTTGTAATCCGGTACCCTAATATGATCCATTATTGCTAGCGATCCTCAGGAACAACCATACTAACGTGACAGATGAAATTAAGGTAAACGAATGACGTAATGGAATGATGCTAAATGTAAGGAAACTAACATTTAAAGTCAGTGTATGTGGGTATAACTGACGGTGGCTACCAATAGTGGCTACTATTTAACATGAAACAAATTGTTTAAAAAAAATACAGTGAAAAGTCTGGGCATATAATTAAAACATTCTAGAACTCATAAGGTCTCCAAGTTATAAGGCCAGCATTTCATAAACTTCATAAAAGTTAATATACATTTAGTAGACACTCTTATCCAGAGCGACTTACAGGAACGATTAGTGATAGTGCCTTGCTCAAGGATATATCTACAGATCTTTCACCTAGTCGGCTAGAGGAATTGAACCATCAACCTTTCGGTTACTGGCCCAACGCTCTTAACCGCTAGGCAACCTGCCAATATGTTGAAATGCTTTAGTTTTCTGCTATATGACTAGTTTTACATTTGGCTCCAACGATCATAAGGTAAAATATATCTAAAACAACAGGTTGCTCGACCTTCTTCATAATTTCATAGCGTGTGAAGATGGTGAAACTATGAGGGAGTCAAGGTCAGAATACGGCGTATCTGCAGACACCTCCAGCCCCAACGAATAGGGGTTGAATAGCATATTATTCTCATGCTTAAATTCAAGGTCAGAATTTGCGTAGGAAGAAAAGTGCATAAAAAGATAATTATGTTCCATTTAAGTGCGCTAAACTCGGGTCGCATTTCCCCCACAGGCTGCCTCATTGGACTGCCTGTCTTGTGTCTGTTTACTGAAAGCCATCAGGGCCCAGCTTCAGTAATAGGCTGGATGAGGATGATTTCACAGGATTATGACACTAATCTCCCCCTAACAGGACACCTCTCTCCCCTCCCTCCGCCTCTTAACCACTCTGTCAATCTCTTTTTTCATCACTCTCTCCCACTATTTCTGTCTCTGTCGGTCCCTGTTTTTACTTTCATTCTAATTTCCACTGTCGTCCCTCCATCTCCCTCTCCCCCACTCTTCATTGTTGCTTTCTTCCTCTCATTAAGAGGGGCCAGATTGAATAGGCAGAAGCTGACTTTTTCTTAAAGGTCCAATGCAACCGTTTTTATCTCAATATCAAATAATTTCTGGGTAACAATTAAGTACCTTACTGTGATTGATTTCAATTAAAATGGTCAAAAATTCTTAGCAAAGAGCAATTTCTCAAGCAATAATTTTGCTAGGACTGACTGGGAAGTGGTCTGAGTGGGGAGGGGAAAACTGAAAATTAGCTGTTATTGACAGAGGTTTGGAACTCTCTTTCTTATTGGTCTGTTAACTAATTGACTGTCTGGTGATGTCACCAGGCAGGCCAAAACTCCATCCCACCAAAACAGGCTGAAATTTCAGCCGCTCTTTTCAAACAGCTCTTACACTAAAAGGGCATTATCATCCTTTTCACAGTATTATTCCAACCTCATAGTGTGGAAATATATATACGTTTCTTACTGCACTGGGCCATTAAATGAAAATAATATCTGTAGAATGAATGTCATAGAACCAAATACTGCTAAAAACATAAATTAATTGTTTTGTTGATTAAAAATGCAGGAAATAATGTAAAATAGTCATTGATATGGAGTTGAATCATCTCAACAGAATCCATGTGGGTCTACTTATGACCATTCAGTTACTCCATCTTCTTCTGCATCATCCTTCTCTTTCTCTTCTCTTTTTCCTCTCTCTTTTCACTACTCTCTTCCCTCGTATCCTCATTTCTAAAAATGTTACACCTCTGTGCACTCCTCTCTCTCTCTCCTCCATTCTCCCCCTCGTTCCTCTTTGCTCCCCCCTTCTCTCTCTCCTCCATGCTCCCCCTCATTCCTCTTTGCTCCCCCCTTCTCTCTCTCCTCCATGCTCCCCCTCGTTCCTCTTTGCTCCCTCCTCTCTCTCCCTCATACTCCCCCTCGTTCCTCTTTGCTCCCTCCTCTCTCTCCCTCATGCTCCCCCTCGTTCATCTTTGCTCCCCCCTTCTCTCTCTCCTCCATGCTCCCCCTCGTTCCTCTTTGCTCCCCCCTTCTCTCTCTCCTCCATGCTCCCCCTCGTTCCTCTTTGCTCCCCCCTTCTCTCTCTCCTCCATGCTCCCCCTCGTTCCTCTTTGCTCCCTCCTCTCTCTCCCTCATGCTCCCCCTCGTTCCTCTTTGCTCCCTCCTCTCTCTCCCTCATGCTCCCCCTCGTTCATCTTTGCTCCCCCCTTCTCTCTCTCCTCCATGCTCCCCCTCGTTCCTCTTTGCTCCCCCCTTCTCTCTCTCCTCCATGCTCCCCCTCGTTCCTCTTTGCTCCCCCCTTCTCTCTCTCCTCCATGCTCCCTCTCGTTCCTCTTTGCTCCCCCCTTCTCTCTCTCCTCCATACTCCCCCTCATTCCTCTTTGCTCCCCCCTTCTCTCTCTCCTCTTTGTGCTCCTTTTCTCTTGCTCTCCTCTGAGCTCTGTCAGTGTCACCCTCTCCCAGAGTTCTATTTCCATTTCCTGTCTGAGGGCTGCTCATCCTTAAACATTCATCACCCTGCAGCGTGAGGCTTTTAATAAAAACACACTTTACTTTTAGACAATGCAGAGCCAGCATCATTTAATCATCCCAGCCCAATATTCATTTCTTCACCTCACTGTGTGCTTGTAGATCTCTCTGAAGTCCGTCTATCTGTTCCATTGGAACCATTCCTCCATAGGAAATGCCTGGCCATTTAACAGAGCTCCATTTACAGTTAATAGCCTTTTAAGAATATAGTGCTGACGTGCTGAAAGTTCCCCATGCTCTGCTCATTTGGTGGTTCCTATCTCCTCTTGCACACTTCCTCATCAGTGCACACTCCATCCAGCCATTCACTCCTTTTCACTCTCATAACACACAAACACTGTTATGTAAATTTCCACATCCCCTTCTTCTCTCTTGCAGATCTGTTTTAACCCTCAGGGCAGTAGAGTTCTGACAGCCAGCGCTGACAAGACGGCTCGCCTGTGGGATGTCCAGTCTAGCGTCTGTCTGCAGGTCTTGGAGGGACACACGGACGAGATCTTCTCCTCCGCCTTCAACTACGAGGGTGACACCATCATCACAGGTAATATGTACCCTCTATCAGGGCTGGGGTCAATTCCATTTCAATTCAGCATTGAGTTGGCATTGAGAAAAATTGGAATTGGAATTTCAGTTTACTTCCTGAATTGCCTTAAATGGAATTGAGCCCAACCCTGCCCTCTATATAATCATATCTAGTTAAAATGCAAAGACGCCACAGCAACCTCTTCACAGCCAAACAAGTATTATTTTTTCTCCACTCACAAACGCTTTATCAAGGTTGAAATGAACAGACCACAGCTGGGTGCGGTGAGCTTCTGCCTCCTATTCATCCACCTGTCTTCTTTCTGCTGCAGGCAGCAAAGACAACACCTGTCGCATCTGGCGCTGACCCGTCCTATGGTCAGTAGGGTGTGTGAGGAGGGGAAGGCCATCTGTCCATCCCCCAACAAGAAGATGCCCTGTTTGAAGATGCCCTTCCTGGAAGTTATCACTGACCCAACGTATGTGACATCTAACCTCCTAGTTGTTGTGGAGTAAGATTCAGTAGACCGGATAGCTTTGGTGAATGAATTTAGTCCCACTGCCATTTTACTATCTAGCACTGTCTAGACAGACAGTTTAGCGCTGTGGATGTGTCCCAAATGGCACCCAATCCCTATTAAGTGCACTACTTTTGAGCAGGGCCTATAGGGCTTTGCAGCCTGCATTCACCAGTTAGGATTTGACCTGGACTGGTCACTTTGGTCCTCTGTCATGTTCAGTGTTGATAATCAGTGTTTATTTGTGTGTTAATTGGAGAATTGGCTGGTCGGAATAATGTTTTCTGTACCCCTCTTTTCCTCAATAAAGACTATTCATGCTCACATATTACATGAATTTATTGATCTCAAAAGATAAAGATACATTCAGTTTCTACAGCAACAGAGTTGAATTGTGTGCTTTTTAATGCCGACGACTTAACACTATAGTACCACTATGCAGATAAAACCTGACAAACCAGATTCACGTACAAATTAGACATTACAAACCTTCTCTGTCTTTCTGAAAGTAGTAAAAATGAAATGAGAGAGAGCAGTCTTTCTACCCCAAGTTGCAGCAGTTCAAGAATCTACAATATATACAGCTATCCAAAATAAACAATTCTCAAAGAACATGAAGAACGACAGATAACTTACATACAGATAACTTACATAAGAACGACAGATAACATGAAGAATGACAGATAACTTAAGCCGTAACAAAGTTACAACAGAAGTAGACAATGTTGGCTGACGTAAACGACAACTATGTTCATCTGGGTCCGTGTTCACAAAGCAGCTCAGATTAGGAGGGCTGATATAGGATGAGTTTGGTATGATTACCAGGACAGGCGGGGGACCTGATCCTAGATCAGCAGTCCTGCTCTGAGACGCTTTGTGAATACAGGCTCTGGGCAACTGTTAAGCATAGTAGTGCATACCTATGTCGCAGTCAGCAAAGCCCAACTGGAATGATGGCTGCTGTCTGACAGTCTCTTCAAGATAGCTACTGTACATTAAAACATAATCTGGTTTCTTTTTGAGTTTGATTGGTTGAGGGAATGGGGTACAGTCTTCTATTGGTGCCTTGTTGTTTGTTGTGTGTGTGTTTATGTGTAATAAATACATAATTTATAAAAGAACACATCCGATCGTGAAAACGTAATGTATAGGATAATTAACAACTAAAGGAATCAAAAATCTGCAGGCTAGAATCTCAGATGGCTGATTTGTTTGTACTAAATAAATAAGGCCTACATCCCAAACTGATGCTGGGTTTTTCTTGGGTTCGTCTAACTAGGGATCGTGCATCAGAAAATGAGAAACATGCTTGTCTTATTAAAGGGAGACATGTCTGCTCACTGCAACCCAATCAAAGTCCTCAGTCCCATAGCCAGTCCTATAAGAGGGTGTGTATAATATCATGGGTGTGGTGTGGTTTTTAGTCTGGAAGCCTTACCTGTTTGTGCTTCAGCCAAATCTTCTACTCCTCGTTGTCCATTGACCATAGGAGTTGGCAAGACAGCACAAACTAATCTGGGACCAGGAAAGGGTTTCTATTCTAGTAGCCAGACCTGTTGATGCTTTAGCCAAAACTTCTAGCGTTCCTTGTCATGGCTTACATCACATTTAATGAAAGAGGAATTGGCTAAAGTACAAACAAATCTGGCTACCAGGCTAGGAGTTTTTCATGATTCGCATGCCGTGTGCTGGGAAACACTAGGCTTGATGGTGGGGTTTGATGCATGGGGGGTACACAGTTGAGGACATTGGCTGGTGTGTGTGTGTGTGTGTTTGTGTAGATGGAGGTTGTTGGCAGTGCCTAGTGGGTCTCCAGTAGCCAGTCAAACAGGCTGGACAGAGAGCTGCCTCCGTCCTCCTCTTCCTGATAGAGCTTACAGAACTGGATGACAGCGCTGAAGAGGTCTCTGATCCTCCATGCCTTCTGAGACACCAGCTGCACCACCCTCTGGAACTGAGACATCACACTCAGCCACAAGACTACACATAATAGAGTACAATACACACACACACACGTACGGGCATAATCAGAGCCTGTGTACCTGCATGTGCTGTGCTTCACCCACCTTGGATGTCCTCCTCTCTTTACACTTCCTGAAGTAGACGGCATGCAGGCCCAGCTCGGAGGCAGCGATCCACTGCAGGGCCAACCGCAGCTCTGAGTCCACACACTCTGGATCCAAGTCACAGTTGACCACCAGAAGCTCCCTGTGGCTGCTACTGCCCCCCACTGACCGCAGTGAGATGCCCTCTGCAACACACACAGGAAATACATAATGCCCACTTTCTGTATACATCAAGCTAACTTCCTGTAGTTTCAATGCCAAAGCTACGCCAAGGTCTAATGGCACATTGGATGGATTTGGCACCAAATAGTTTCAAGATAGGTTGGGTAAGGAGGGCTTGATACCATCAGTGTTGGGAAGTAGTGAAATACATTTAGTTCAACTATTTAATTACATTTTGCAGTAGCTTGGTGGCAGTTGAACTAAATTAAGATCTTGGTAGTGTTTTTAGTAGTTAATTATTATTTTTTGTCATGTAGTGGTGTAGCTAACTACTGGAACTACACACTTTGCAAAAATAACATATGGGTGAAGAATTTATATTATTTTATAGCATCAGACCTGCCTAATTCTAACTTGAAACACTTTTGTGTGCCTAATTCTCACTTTTTGTGTTTAATAGGCTAAATTACACATTCTGCTAACATCTGACTCCAGAGTGATCTGTTCTTGCCATTTTTAGTCTCTGACATTTCAGATTTTAGTAGTGAACTACTTTTTCTAAGTAACTTTAATCAAGTAAGCTATGTTTTTCTAAAGGGTAACTTTAGTGTAGCTTAACCTTTTTTTTTTTTTTTTTTTTGTCATTTTAGCAGACGCTCTTATCCAGAGCGACTTACAGTTAGTGAATACATTTAATTATTTTTTTATACTGGCCCCCCGTGGGAATCAAACCCACAACCCTGGCGTTGCAAACGCCATGCTCTATCAACTGAGCTACATCCCTGCCGGCCATTCCCTCCCCTACCCTGGACGACGCTGGGCCAATTGTGCGCCGCCCATGAGTCTCCCGGTCGCGGCCGGCTGGGACAGAGCCAGAGTGTGAAGTAGTGTCCTCCCGAGTGGCGCAGTGGTCTAAGGCACTGCATCGCAGTGCTAGCTGTGCCACTAGAGATCCTGGTTCGAATCCAGGCTCTGTCGTAGCCGGCCGCGACCGGGAGACCCATGGGGCGGCGCACAATTGGCCCAGGGTAGGGGAGGGAATGGCCGGCAGGGATGTAGCTCAGTTGGTAGAGCATGGTGTTTGCAACGCCAGGGTTGTGGGTTCGATTCCAGTATAAAAAATAAAAATGTATGCACTAACTGTAAGTCGCTCTGGATAAGAGCGTCTGCTAAATGACTAAAATGTAAATGTAAATGTAAGTATGTGTAGCTTGGTAAACTATTTTCAGAGTAGCTTCCCCATCACTGGATACAATGTTGTTATATTGACATAAAAAAAAAAAACCTAGCTGCAAGGCAGTGATAAAGCAGTGATATATTTACCATTTCGACATTTGAGTTTGAGTTTGAATACTCATAGAATACTCCGTGTGTAGAGATCTTACAGTGAGGAGGTTGAATAGAAATTATTGCGAAGACGAACGATAACAAAGATGAGACAGTAGGGCAGGCCGAGAGAGTTGAGTTTCCTTTGTGACAGATATAGACAGTAATGACATGGAAATGAGACAGTGTGTGTGCGTATGACTCAGACAGGGTGACATTACCCACCGTCTACGTTCTCTTTGCTCTCCCTTAGGTGACCCTTCTCCGCCTCCTCACTGAGGACAGACAACATGACCATTAAGACAATACAGTAGGTCACGTTCAGATTTTTCAATAAGGGATAACACTCCAAAAACAAAGTAAAAAATAAGGAAACTATTATTATTTTGCACCTTTCTATCGATCTTAATCTTTCTCCATACATGTTTGTTCTCTCCTGAATGTTTCATTTCCTTAAAATAAAATAGGTGCAACCGTTTTGTTAATCTAGCCATTGGCGTGAATTTACTTACTCCCTGTCATGGATTTAAAAACATTTAATTAGTGTAAGCATGGGCTAGCTAGCCAGATGGAGCATCCACCTCATTTCCTACATCGGTTGATCTCTTCATGAGGTGGAGTGAACAAGTACACACTTCATAAACAGGGTAGAGACTAGAGAGAGAATCAGACTGGAGCTTATGAGACTGCATTCTCCTGTTCAAAGGGCCTTGTTTAAAGCCTCAGCGCTGTGTTGTAGGAGTGTAGCCTGCATGTTGTAGGAGTGTTGTTTGCATGTCGTTAGGAGTTATCAGTTACCTGTTCACTGTGCTCTGACTGGGGATGTCAGAGAAGCCCTCCAGGTCTGCCAGACCCAGGCTAGACGTGCTGCTGTTCCCGTTCCTGCAAACCCAAACAGAACCAAAACTCATATCCTGTCTCTGGAAAGGCGACACGATCAGTGACTTGTGACGGGACCAATAAGGAGCTGCAGTGAAGCGAGCAATGTTGTTCATTAGCTGGTGATTAACATAGAAACAGCAGCTGCAGCTGAGCAGGATGGCTGGGCTGGCAGAGAGAGCCTGACTGGCAATGAGCCCTTCCTTGTGGAGATGGTGGATGTGGAAAAATTGAGCAGTTGGGCGGAGTGGGTGACCATGTCCAGTGTCAGCAGTGTTACAGTGGAGTTAATCGGGGATCAGGTGGTCAGGTAGAGAGGAAGGCAACAGTGACCAGGTGTTTGTTTATGCCACAGCTGTCTGCGCTGGCAGGTTAAAGCAGCAAGCAGCACACATTTAATCACCACTACTGCCAAGCTGAAGCCAGCCAGCCACACAGCCCTCCTCCTTGTCCTCTGGAGCATACAAACGTATATATCCCACTCTTTGTTATCTATACCATGGTCTCATTTCTCCTGGCTTAGAGGAATGCCAGTAATAGACTTGCTACCTCCGTTTTTGGTTTGGCTGTGTGTCAGTATGAGGCTAGCTAGTGGAACTGAGAAATGGCACTGGCTGAAGCAGGGAATGATAGCTAATGTTCTGTGGGCGTTTGATATGTGAGAAGCAGTGTGACGTCATACCTATGCTACTGCGGCTGCAGCCCCACTCTCTCTGACTATATTTCAGCGCAGGCTGCAGGCCCCCAGAGCTCCACACCATGCTGGCTCTGGAATGGGGCTCAGTGCACTAGGTGAGTTCTCTGCCAGTTAGAGGAAAGCCCCTGAGCAGACAGTTATTCCACTGAAGCAGCAAGGGCTGAAGACTGGCACAGGACAGCAAAGAGTGAACAGAAATGGGCTGATGAGAGGGCGAGGGCGGTAGTAGCGGTAGGAGTACTAGGAGCAGTGCATGATGGGACGGAGCAGCGGTTGGTTGCTACGGTTACTGACCCCTCGCTCAGCTGGATAAAACTACTGGTCTCCTCGTGGGGATCATCGTCGGGGGCAATCTGGGACCAGCTTCCCGAGCTGTCCTCACTGCTAGCACTCAGAGAGCGCTTGTTTCGCTCATCTACAGCGGGTACAACAGCGGGCACTGCCATCCTGTCTCTCTCAAAGCTGGAGAGAAACAGCAGGGTCACCTACTGTATACACTCTTAGAATTTTTTTTCCATAAAGTGTTCTACCAGGCTGTACCTGTAGGAACCTTTTATGGTTCTAGTTAGCCATTTTTTTCTAAGAGTGTACATACGGTGTGATAGGCTGGGAGACTGGGAGGAGCTCAAACCCTCTGACGTGATCTTCCCCCTCATTGGTTGATTTGGTTCTATACTTGTTCGGGGGATACAGATTGTAAAATTCTTGATTCAAGAATGCAGTTTTTTTTAAAGTGTGCTATGTACTGTGACTATACACATTTTACATTTGTGTTGGGACCATGAAACTTGCTCATCACATATTGCATACAACCCCCCACCACCACCACCAAGTATTGTTCTTTCTAAAATCTGTGCCCCTTTTATAGAGGGTGGATAACCTAGGTCCTTTAGTGTGAAAAGGAAGTTTTGTATTTGTACCTATCCAAATTAGCCATAAATAAAAAATTAAATGAAAGGCTGTAGTGCAACAGAGCAACTGATTAATTTAAATCCTGATTAGATGATTGAAAGCTGCCAAATTCCCAGAGTGGGTTAAGGTGTTGTTTGTCAATGTCAATGAACCTCACATTTCCACCAGGGAAAAACCCAGATGCAGATGACACGTTCCCTAATTGGAGTTTATTAAGTGTTAAGTGAAAAACCAGTAAACCCTGCAATCCTTTAGCAGCCTAAATATAATAATCTCTTCCATCTATTTTCCTTTTCATCTTATTTATTGCATGTGTCAATCCAATCTAGAGGTAACTGCCAAAAGAATGGAAACACTTGAGTAAATGAGGGATACAAAGTATATTGAAAGCAGGCGCTTCCAAACAGGTGTGGTTCCTGAGTTAATTAAGCAATTAACATCCCATCATGCATAAAAATGCTGGGCAGGTCATTATTTTGGCTACTATGGCTATGCCCTTCATATTTGGTATTTGGTATTTATTAGGATCCTCATTAGCTGCTGCAAAAGCATCAGCTACTCTTCATGGGGTCCACGGGATGACAATGGCCCCATCCACAGGGCACTAGTGGTCACTGAATGGTTTGATGAGCATGAAAACGATGTAAACCATATGCCATGGCCGTCTCAGTCACCAGATCTCAACCCAATTGAACACCACCATCAACAAAGCACCAAATTATGGATTTTCTCGTGGAAGAATGGTGTTGCATCCCTCCGATAGTTTAGAATCTTGTAGAATCTATGCCAAGGTGCACTGAAGCTGTTCTGGCTTGTGGTGGCCAAACGCTCCATTGGTGTTTCCTTTATTTTGTCAGTTACCTGTATATGATACTAAGATTTCTTTTCAGGTATCAACATTTGTAAATAACCTCCAAAGTATTTAAACCCCATTGTTTATTTTCCTTTCTAAACATGTAAATGTATATTTGATCTGCTCTGTCTATTTGTGCGACCTTGTGTTGTCATCTATGTCAACGTGGTCTGTAAATGTTTGTCGCTCAAGATGCTGGAACACCAATAAAGTGACCTGAATGACCTTGGAAGTTTCCTGTAACCTCCTCCTTGTAGTGTCCAACTCCAGTAGCAGGCCTCCATGCAGTCTATATATCCACACTTCACTGCCCCCCTGAAGGCCACTCTCACTTTAACAAGAATGTCTGTGTGAATCTTCTCACCTTACTGAGTCCCTGTACACAATTGACCTCTGAGTGAAATGTCAGACCCAAATTACAGGACAATATGATGTCACTGTTGTATGTAGCCTGTGTCTCTTATATACTGAATGTGAGATATACACTCCCCTCCATATATATTTGGAAAGGGAAGTACATTTTTTAAATTTGGCTCTATACTCCAGTATTTTTGATTTAAGATCCAATGTTTCCTTTGAGGAGACAGTACAGAATGTCACCTTATACAGTGCCCTCCATAATTATTGGGACAGTGAAGCATTTTTTCTTCTTTTGGCTCTATACTCCAAAAGTGTGGATTTGAAATCAAACAATGACTATGAGGTTAAAGCGCAGACTGTCAGCTTTAATTTGAAGGTATTTTCATTCATATCATGTTAACCGTTTAGAAATTACAGCACTTTTTGTACATAGTCCCCCCCATTATAGGTGAGCAAAAGTATTGGGACAAATTCACTTATACAGCGCATTTGGAAAGTATTCAGACCCCTTTACTTTTTCCACATTTTGTTACATTACAGCCTTATTCTAAAATGGATTAAATAAATAAAATCCTCATCAATCTACACACAATACCCCATAATGACAAAGCGAAAACAGGTTTTAGACATTTCTGCAAATGTATTACAAATAAAAACCTGAAATACCTTATTTACATAAGTATTCAGACCCATTGCTATGAGACTCGAAATTGAGCTCAGGTGCATCCTGTTTCCATTAATCCTCCTTGAGACGTTTCTAATACTCGATTGGAGTCCACCTGTGGTAAATTCAAATGATTGGACATGATTTGGAAAGGCACACACCTGTCTATATAAGGTCCCACAGTTGACAGTGCATGTCAAAGCAAAACCAAGCCATGAGGTCGAAGGAATTGTCCGGAGAGCTCCGAGACAGGATTGTGTCGAGGCACAGATCTGGGGAAGTACCAACAAATTTCTACAGCATTGAAGGTCCCCAAGAACACAGTGGACTCCATCATTCATTTTAAACTGGACTGTGTGTTTAGAGGCAATAGATCATTAGTTTCCACATTTTTGTTACGTTAAAGCCTTATTCTAAAATGTATTTTAAAATGCTTTTCTTCTCATCAATCTACACACAATACCCCATAATGATAAAGCAAAAACAGGTTTTTAGAAATGTTTGCAAATTTATAAAATATAAAAATAGGAAATATTACATTTACATAAGTATTCAGACCTTTTACTTTGTTGAAGCACCTTTGTCAGCGATTACAGCCGCGAGTCTTCTTGGTATGACCCTACAAGCGTGGCACACCTGTATTTGGGGAGTTTCTCCCATTCTGCTCTGCAGATCCTCTCATGCTCTGTCAGGCTGGATGGGGAGCGTTGCTGCACAGCTATTTTCAGGTCTTTCCAGAGATGTCCGATCGGGTTCAAGTCCGGCTCTGGCTGGGCCACTCAAGGACATACAGAGACTTGTCCCGAAGCCACTCCTGCATTGTCTTGGCTGTGTGTTTAGGCTCGTTGTCCTGTTGGAAGGTGAACATTCGCCCCAATCTGAGGTCCTGAGCACTCTGGAGCAGGTTTTCATCAATCTCTGTACTTTGCACCGTTCATCTTTCCCTCGATCCTGACTAGTCTCCAAGTCCCTGCCGCTGAAAAACATCCCCACAGCATGATGATGCCCCCACCATTCTTCACCGTAGGGATGGTGCCAGGTTTCCTCCAGACGTGACGCTTGGCATTGAGGCCAAAGAGTTCAATCTTGGTTTCATCAGACCAGAGAATCTTCCAACTCCAAGTGGGCTGTCATGTGCCTTTTACTGAGGAGTGGCTTCCGTCTGGCCACTCTACTATAAAGGCCTGATTGGTGGAGTGCTGCAGAGATGGTTTTCCTTCTGGAAGGTTCTCCCATTTCCACAGAAGAACTCTGGAGCTCTGTCAGAGTTCTTGGTCACCTCCCTGACCAAGGCCCTTCTCCCCCGATTGCTCAGTTTGGCCGGGCGGCCAGCTCTAGGAAGAGTCTTGATGGTTCCAAACTTCTTCCATTTAAGAATGATGGAGGCCACTGTGTTTTTAGGGACCTTCAATGCTGCAGAGAGTTTTTGGTACCCTTCCCCAGATCTTTGCCTCGATACAATCCTGTATCGGAGCTCTATTGACAATTCTTCAACCTCATGGCTTGGTTTTTGCTCTGACATACACTGTCAACTGTGGGACCTTATATAGACAGGTGTGTGCCTTTTAAATCATGTCCAATCAATTGAATTTACCACAGGTGGACTCCAATCAAGTTGTAGAAACAGCTCACGGATGATCAATGGAAACAGGACGCACCTGAGCTCAATTTGGAGTCTCATAGCAAAGGGTCTGAATCCTTATGTAAATAATGTATTTCTGTTTTTTTTAATATAAATTTGCTAAAATTTCCAAAAACCTGTTTCCGCTTTGTCATTATGGGGTATTGTGTGTAGATTGATGAGGATTTGTATTTATTTAATCAATTTTAGAATAAGGCTGTAACGTAACAAAATGTGGAAAAAGGGAAGGGGTCTGAATACTTTCCGAATGCACTGTATGTACATTACACATTTAACATATTAAAACAAAAGAAGAGATAAATAATATTTTTTCATTCTTTGCTTCCCTGCTTGCAGATGTACATAATATGATGCGACCTTAATCAAAAAGTATTTAATAACTCCAAATAACAAAAAGGTAGCTGTAGGTTGTTGTAACATTTAAACTTCAAACATGTTTTTAATTTTTTTGCACAGCCATGGATCATCGGTTTGGTTGAATGCAGCATTGCTGTAAGGTGCACTCAAAATGTATTGTAGTTGAGTGGCCAGCCTATGCTCCTGCCCAAATGTTGTTGTAATAGGCCTACATGTTTCTCCTTTGCATTGTGTTTTGTTGCATGTTTAGATTTCTGGTTATTCATTGTCAAGCTTAACCGAAGCAAGACAGCAACATTTTACACTTTCCCTCCACTGCGCGCTGTAAACTGGACACACGAAAGCAGCGCCCACTGAAGTTGAATTCACTGATGCCAGCGCACCAGGCAGTAATTTCATTAAGTAGATGACTCAATTGTTGACTAATTTCTACTAGCTTGTGTGTCCTAATCGGCCCATGGGCCTTGTGTTTGACACGTGCGCTAGCCTATTAGCCACCTTATAACTGGCTTGTGATCATTGCCCTTGCTAATTTGATTGTATTGACATTCCCAGCCTTAGTTACAGTCGTCCGTTTTTGTTCAAAATATTGAGTAATTAAAACTGAAACAGTGCATACCAAATGGGTGGAGGCAGCAAACAATGTACCAGGCAAGCTGTGAGTTACAACCTGATAGAAATATTTTTTGGACTACCAAGAAATGTATTGGTGAATTATATTTATCATGCATTGAACTGCATCCATATATTCTGCCAACAATGGCTTACTGTACGTCATGGAATTTTGAGTCAACTCTTATAAAGTTGGTTTTGAAGAATAAACTGGGAATTTGATATATTCTTACTGATATTAGGATTGTCGGTTTCATATCTGCAAAGTAATTCAAACGCTGTCCGTTCCACTTTAAATTAGTCAAAGGTTTAGTATTTGGTCCCATTTCCTTGCACGCAATGACTAAATCAATCTTGTGACTTTACAAACTCATTGGATGCATTTACAGTTTGTTTTGGTTGTGTTTTTGGTTATGTTTTGCCAGTACCTGAATGATGACAGGAGTAATTTTCTTTCTAAGTAGATAAGATGTTTCATCATGAATAATGATGAGGGAGATGCCGTTAAGAGGCAACAACAAAACATGCTAACCTCTCACCATTACCAATAACTGGGGAGGTCAGCATTTTGGGGGGATCTTTGTGCTTCTGTAAACTTCTCACTCATAGTTATTCACAATTCATTAATGATTATCCATAATCATGGTAGCATCCACATGAATGTAGAAGTGTTCAGAAACATCTTCTATTCTTACTTACAATAAAAGTGACTCCAAAATGGCAAGAAATATTATTCACCATTCAGTTCCTATTGGGCAAAACATAACGGGCAATTCCAGGGGAACAGAATAATGCTGAGATTCTTAAATGTATGCCAAACAAAAACCAATGATTGCAAAGTTAAACAAACCATACAACTCTATGCACAAGGACAACTTTTAACAATTTCCACAGAAAATGTTACAAAAAACATTAACTTGAAGAACAGTGCAGATGCAAAGTTTGGTAACAGAATGACGGCACAAACCATTGCTTTTTGTTTGACATACATTTTAAATAAAACAAATCTGAGCATTCTGTTAGCGTGGAATTGCCCTAATCCAAAACACAACCAAAACAAACCGCAAATATATCCAACAAGTTTGTAGTCACAAGCTTGATGTAGTCATTGCCTGCAAGGAATACGGGACCAAATACCAACATTTGGATTACTTTAATAGAAGTGAATGTGTCCAAATACTTGTGAATTCTTCAAATGGGGGGACTAGATACATAAAGTGCTTTAATTTCTAAACGGCAAAACAGATATGTATGAAAATACCCTCAAATAAAAGCTGACATTCTGTACTCTCGCCTAATATGAAATATCTCATCTAAAATGCTGGAGGATAGAGCCAAATTCACATTTTTGCTTCACAGTCCCAATACATATGGGTGAGTATATATTTGTGTGTGTGTTTGGGCTTGTATGAATGTTTATAAGTATCTTCGGTATGTCGTGACTACAGGCATATCTATGCCACCTTGAAGATCAAGGTTAGCTCTAGATAAAAGCTGCAGCCTCCAACACAGAAACATGACTCATAACCTGGCTGTGGGTGTGTGTAACCCCAGAGACTTTCACAATAGACTACATTCACTCTGTGGATGCAGTAGAAGCCATTATGTGGCTGGGTCTCTGATACCCAACGCTGTAAACAGTTTAACAACGCATGGATGGTTTCCGATTTATAAACACATTAGGTCACTATTCAAGGTGTTTCGGAAAATGATTTCCAAGGAGGACTATAAAAAAATACTACCATATCTCTCTCTCTCTCTCTCTCTCTCTCTCTCTCTCTCTCTCTCTCTCTCTCTCTCTCTCTCTCTCTCTCTCTCTCTCTCTCTCTCTCTCTCTCAGACAGATCAAAAGCAGGCTGAGAGTCTGTGATAGCCCTGTGATGCTCTCATCTCCACTGATGATGCCCCTGTGCTGTGAAGAGCTGTGAGAGCCTGTTTGTGTGTTTGAGGGTGGGATTGATTCACAGGGGAATCGCGAACTGAGAGAGGGCTTACCTGCTGCGTCTCACTGAGGCCATCTCAGTGCACCACTGGGCTGTCCCCTCAGGGGGCGCTGGGTCCCAGCGGGGATGCTCGACCCTTTCCACCGGTTCCCCAGACTCCGGATCATCCCTCTGATCTGTCTCGATGTGGATCACTGGTACAGGGACCTCCCTGGGGCCCCTGATGGGTGGCCCCGCTGCTGTACATGTGCTGTCTCCACCCCCTCCTGGTTTCTCCTGGCTGGCTCTGCTCTGGGTGCAACCAGGGCGGGACTGTTTGAAGCCTCTCCTCCTCTCCCCCACGGGCATGTGTTGCTGTCGCCCCACCACGCCCCCTCCTCCGGCCCCATCCCCTTCCTGCAGGACAGACTTCCCGGTTTCCACGATGTCTGCGGCCAGGCGGTCGGCATACTGCAGCACATGGGTTTGGGACTCTGCATCCACCAGGTCAATGCTGTCCTCTGGGTCCGCAATGATCTTGTTCTTCCGCATCAGGGACTCAATGGAGCTGGACCAGGTCTCGTGGATCAGCATGTCGGTGATCTGGTCCGTCTGGCCCCTCTGGTACAGACAGGAGTCAGACTTGCACAGGCCCGTGGATGACACCTGCACCGAGTTGGTGGGGTAGATGTTGAGCGTGTCCCCGTGCACATTGCGGACAAAGCCGTCAAAGGAGTTGGCCTTGATGGGCGAGTTGACGGTCAGCCTGGAGTCTGAGAAACGTCTGTCCGGCACGGAGGACTGACGGATACAGAAGAGCGTTCTGGGAGATGGAGGCAATAGGCTGTTGCTCCACTCTTTAGTTCTGCCCATACTGTAGTCTTTGCTCTCCTTGTCCATGTCTTTGAGCATGAACCTGTAGAACTCCTCCGTGATGCTCTCTGTGCTGGACTGCTTGGACAGACAGGAGGTGGTCCTCACATTGAGATGGCCGTTCTTCTTGGTGGCTGCCTGCTGCATGGCTGCCGCCAGGATGTTGCTGGCGTTCTGCCCGGCGTAGTAGTCCAGCAGCAGGTCGAAGCCCCGGCCCTCTGTCTCCATCTGGTTCACCATGAAGCGGGAGAACTCGTCTGTGATGCTCTCGCAGCTGGACTGCTTGGAGATGGAGCCTCCCCTGCTCAGGTTCTGGCCCAGCCGGCTGCCGGGGCCCAGGGTGTTGGGGGTACCCGGGGGGCCTGCGTCCTCCTCTGGGATGCTTTCGTAGCTGGCGGCCTTGCCCCGGCTCCACCTCTCACACTGCAGCCGGCTGCGGGTCTGCTGGCCGGGCTTGGAGGTGTCAACCACATTGAGCTCGGGGCAGTTCATGATGCGGGCGGTGACCTCGGAGGCAAAGAGTGCGAATGGGTCAAGAGTCTGGGGCATGTCGTCTAGGTTGACCGTCTCATCCACCACACGGTTGACCAGGCACTCCATCAACTCAGGCTGCTCCTCAGTCTTCCTCTTGATCTCACTGAGGCGCGGCGGCCGGTGCTTTTTGGATGACACACCGCCGTTCTGGCCCTCCTTTCTGCGGAGGGCCGTGCAACAGGAGGGCAGCAGGTAGCCCCCCTCGGGGTAGTAGCCGGCTGCGCCCTTCAGGGCACAGAACCATGGCTGCTTCCCGCTGGAGTTCTCCAGGCAGATGGCGGCCAGCTCAGTGGCCATGGAGACCACGGTGGTGGCCAAGTCATCAGCAAAGTAGTTGACGGGGGTGGTTCTCGATTCTGAGTCCATTTTTAGGCAGACCAAGGCCCCTGTGGAGGAGGAGCTAAAAGAGGACTGAGGGGTCAGAGAAGACTGTCTGCTGTCCGTACTGGCTCTCCATCTTTTCTCTGTGCCCAGGGATGAAGATACCTGGTGGGCTAAGCTCTCTGTAAAAGGCTCTCTGATGTTTCCTCTGGCCTGCTGGCCCTGGAGGTCATAGCAGTCCTTAGTAGAGGATGAGACTTTAGTTGGAGCTTGTCTGTGCTGCTGCTGCTCTCTGATATGTGGTTCACTCTCCCTCTCCTCCAGTCTATATTTGTCCTCCCTTATCCCAGAGTAGACGGGCATCTTCTCTGCCCAGTGGGCTTCACAATTATCGGGCTGGCTGGAGCCAACAAAGCGCTGTAATTGGCTTAATGGTTCCTTGGTGGTGGCGGCCGCCTCGTAGTCCCTGGAGCCGACATCACCCTCTTGTCTGTCAAACGACCCTATATCACATTTGGAAATGGCACCGATCCGCTTTGAAGTGAGACAAAGGACGTCGAAGAGCACATTGCTCACGCTCTCCTGCAGAAAGCCCTGGATATCAGGGACGTCTTTGCCCGGGCCTTCCAGTTCTTTTTTCTTTTTCGCTTTCTCGAACGCGTGCTTGAAGAGGCCATTGGCCACCTCGCTGATGAAATCGTCCACCTCAGTCTCGTCCATCTTGTCCAGACAGGACTTTTTGGGAGACGTAATGCCATCCACGATCCTGTTGTGGGTGGACTCCAGTAGGTGGGCCACACTCTTGTAGTCCTGGGGCTGAGCCAGCACCCCTGCTGCCTCCTTGTGAAGAACTTCAGCAATGCTGGTACGGAAGGCCTCGATGCTGGTCCCTTCGGCCACGCTGCAGTGGAGAGTGATGGCCGTGGAGGCCTGTGCTGCAGATAGGAGCCCCACGGAGGCGGCCGAGTAGACCTCGGTGGTGGAGTCATCTTCTGACTCGCAGTCCCCCTCCCCGGCCTCTTCGTCTAGCTCCACCACGGCCACCGCCCCCGCCACCTGGGCCATCCCGCACATGGCTGAGGAGAAGGAGTAGTCGGTGCCCTCAGGGTCCCTCTGTCCCTCTCTCTCCATATCCTCCTCTGTTGGATCCATCGCCAGCTGCTCTGCTACCTGTGGGCTGGAGATGGTGCCGATGACGCTGGCAGCGCATGCCAGGGCCCGCTGCAGGGGTTTGTTGAAGTGGCGTCCACTGGTAGTGGTGGTAGGGCGGAAGCCATGGGCCTCTGGTCCGTGTTCCACCGTTACCTGTCTGGTAGCACCATCATCACCACCAACACCATGCTCCACAGCCACGTGAGAGGCCTGAGTATCCAGCCACTCTGGCAGGCCCTCGCAGTTATCCGGGCTCTGCACTATGACGATCTTGGGCAGCTCGAAAGAGCAGGCGCGTGCCCGAGATGGCTCCTCTGCTCCTGTTCGGGTGAGGCTGGTGGGGGGGCGGTGGCTGCCGGGGGACATGCTCACAGCGGCCTCGGTGGCGAAGGACTGTTCGTCCTGAGACAGGCGGATGAAGGCGTCCTGCAGTACCGACTCAGCCAGGTTGGTGGCGTAGTGGCCGGCCGACTCCTTATTGTGGTGACTGCTAGCTCTCGCCGGTGCCCTTCCTCCTTGTTTCTTGGTGGCTTGGGGGGCGCAGATGGTCACCTCGGAGTCCTCGCTGTCCTGCCACTGGTGCTGGCCCAGGCGTCCCCTCTGACACGCAGGTCTGCAGCTGTGTGCTGCATCTGCTAAGCCCTCTGCCACATCACTGCACTCTGGCTCATTGGGGAGAGAGAGAGAGAGAGGCATGTCCAGACCTGTTAGAGAGTAGTTCTATCAAACTCCCAATGTGCCACAGCAAGAGCAATGACAACCCAGCTATTGTTTAACCAAGCTAGCAATAACACTAGACTTTCACTGAGCAGCATTTACCCACTCAAACCTGACTATAGCTACCAACCAAACCCTAGCTGGTCCCAATTATGTTTGTGCTGTCTTACCAATGACCATAAGAGTTGGCTACACAGGCTATAATACAACACAAACAGATCTGGGAACAGGCTAACCTACCCCCATGCAAAGTAAAAAAGAGCAAACTATCTGAGGCTGATCTGATTATGAATAATACTGGTAGATTGACTCAAAGGAGAACCTTTACACAGTGTTGGTTCTAATTTCATACAGGCAGGGATGAGAACAATACAGATACAAAATACCATAAAGATCAATGTATCCATATAAACTACAAAATACTTGCATTTTGTAATGTATTTAATTAAAATACATGCATTTTGTATTTTTAAATACCAAAATACATTTGCAAGTAGCCGGCCCGAACAGCAACAAAATTCTTAGTATCGGTTACAAAAATGTTTTTACTTGCAATGACTGTGATATGTTGTTTAACTACCTTAGTCGAGCAAGTCACTCTGGATAAGCATGTCTGCAAGTGACCAAAATATAACTGTATACTGTATGTGAAAATGAACATACCAAAATGAACTGCAAAGCACACTGGGTATTGTTTAGAGGCGGAGCTCATTAGAATAATACTCAGTATGCTTTGCAATTGTTCATTTTTACATATACATTTATATTTAGTTCATTTAGCAGATGCTTTTATCAGTCCATAGTGCTATCAGACTTCTGATACCAATGCAGTGAAAGGGGGGCCACAAAATGTGAACCGCTATAAATTACAGTTTTTGAAAATATAAAATACAAAATACATTGGAGTGTAGTTCAGCCCAATGTAATTCAAATTTCAAAATACACAGAATTAATTAAAATACGTACAGGAGATTAATTATAGATAAGGGGAGACTTGTCACTGTGAAGAAAAGTGCCGCCAAACTCAGGGCCATATATTGTATATTAATCTCAATCATGACAGGCATTGATCAGTTCTACTGTATGTGCCCTCAGCAGCATGGCACACCATGCGAGGCACACACACACTAAGGAGCTATGCAGCCAGCCACAGAGAAGTGTTTTTACAGATGAAGACTGACAGGCACGAGAGAACAAGAGAACAACAGCACAAATGGCTGGGCGTCTGTCGTTCCCTTTTGAAACGAGACGAGAGACATCTTCAGTGGTAAGAATAGCTTAACATGTAGACTATTCGTGATTTACATACTGAAGACTCTATAATAACACTACATCAATAACAACTTTGATTTTTATTGAGGTTGTTATCGTTTAAAGTGGTTACAGCACCTATGCACTGACCTGTTTTGAGAGTAGTCTACTAAATAATGTATTACCTTACAAAAATGTCAGAGTTTTCCTCCCAAAATGAGTGCTTCACATTAGTAGAATTGTAAATAATAAATAATTTATCCCATTTAGCGGACACTTTCGTCAAAAGTGACCTAGAACAGTGACTGAGATTTACATTTTCATATTGGTGCCCCAAGCAGGAATCGAACCCACGAACCTGCCGTTGCTATCCTCATGCTATACAAACTTAGCCACATAGGACTACATTACTCTACTTTCATATTCACCACATATGCCAGTAAAATACATTGAACTCAAATACAGTACATGGGTATTCAAAAGGATGAGAGAAAATACTAACTGTAAGTCGCTCTGGATAAGAGCGTCTGCTAAATGACTAAAAATGTAAATGTAAAATGTATTAAATCACCGTTTCGTAAGCCGTCATCCTCGCTGTCATCCCCCAGGTGTTCTGAGGCAGTGAGGAAGTCCTCCTCTATGGATGAAAAGGAGCGGTTGGTGTCGTCATCCAGCCTCTGCCCTGCCATCATACGCCCCTGGGCCCCCTGCCTCTCCTGACCCCACTGCAGCCCGATCAGGAACTTGTTGATCTCATAGATGATGCTGGTAGGCCTCCGGCCCCCAGCACACTGGACCAGGCACACATCTGTACCCCTCTGGCCCTGGAGGCAATACACACATACACACACGCAGAGGAAGGAAAGAGTTCAATCATTTATGAGTTCTACCTTTCTGCTCGTGTAATACTCAGAGCTGATGAGTCAGTCAGACAGTGGATGGATTTGGGATGGAGGGATCTCAACAAACCATTCATATAAAATGAGAAGGAAGATGAAGTGTGTGTGTGTGCTCGCCTGTGTGTAGCTGGGGTACTGATGAGGGTGAGAGGGGTCCGGAGTCTCCAAACCACCGAGCAGCAGGATCTCGTTCACCTTGGGCTGTTGCACGCTCAGAGAGCCAACCAGCTTGGGCAGGTCTGGAGAGATCGAGGCCAGTTTCTAGAGGAGAGAGAGACGTCGCCCACAGTCACAGTGACAGTCACACAGGCAGTCATCACCAGCACAAACCTGCTGATTACCTAAACAAATCAACCCCTCTCACTCAGGCTAATTATCCTGAATCCATGGCAACAGAGCCAGTGTTTTACGATGGTTAAGAAAGACTCTGGGGGAACGGGAGGAGAGGAAAGGAGAGGAGAGGGGAGAGTATGAGCGAGGGAGCAGAGGCGTTAATTGGTAGGGGGGAGGAAAGGGGAAGAGGGAGGAGGGAGTAAAGGAGATGAGAGGAGGAGGGAGGAGAGGGAAGAGAGGATATGAGAGGAGGAGGGAGGAGATGGAAGAGTGAATATGAGAGGAGAGCATGGGTAGGGGGGAGAGGGAAGAGAGGATATGAGAGGAGAGCATGGGTAGGGGGGAGAGGGAAGAGAGGATATGAGAGGAGAGCATGGGTAGGGGGGAGAGGGAAGAGAGGATATGAGAGGAGAGCATGGGTAGGGGGGAGAAGAGAGGATATGAGAGGAGAGCATGGGTAGGGGGGAGAAGAGAGATGAGAAGAGAAGAGGGGACCCAGCACACCTTGATGCAGCTGTCGTCGTGACGATCCACCTTCTGCTGGTCCAGATTCACAAAGCAGATCTGCAATGAGAGGGAAAAAGCTTCAGAACAGTGGTAACGTAAAGCTACAAAAAGTCCAGAATTCTAACTGTGATGTAGCCAACCTTACTCCCCATTCCAATTACCTGACTTTACCCAGATAAAAGCATGATTATTAGTCTGACAGAGGAAGCAATCATGCTGTGTTAGCCCTCACTGGCCATTTACAAGCCTCTAGCAGGACGAGATTTTGTAGGTATGGCAACACGAGACTAAGCAGGACACAACAGGGCTAATGGCACCCAGTCAGTCAGTCCCCAGGGAGCGAGCGACAGTCCCTACATACAGACTGATATAATTTCACTGAATTAGTCCCAAATGACACCCTATTCCCTATATAGTGCACTACTTTAGACCAGAGCCCTATTTGCCCTGGTCAAAAGAAGTGCACTCTAAATGGAATAGGGTGCCATTTGGAATGCAGATATATAATCTCACTGATTGCTTTCCCATTGTTTATTCAGGGGTGGGTTTTCCAAAGCATTCGTAGATGTGTATTGGTATGTTATTTCACTTGCCGACCCATACTATAGAACAGCAAAGTGCTACGAATGTTGTTCGTTCACGCATTGAACATTGGCCGCCCCATCAAACATTGACTTTCATAAGTGTTACTCTGTCATGGCAGTGCGGCTGGGTTGTGGATAGAAATAATGTAAAACTTCAGCTACAAATGCTTTGGGAAAGTATTGATCAATAATTTAGTTAATTAGAAAAGGGGCGTGAGGCAAAGCCCTTGGTTGCAGTAAGATCATAACTTGTTTTCTTCTCACTGACCAATAAACAGCCTCACCCCCCCACCAGCTGTAACACACACGCACACACTCCATTACTCTACAGCTCTCTCTCTCTCCCTCTCTCTCTCTCTCTCTCTCTCGCTCTCTCGCTCTCTCTCTCTCTCTCTCTCTCTCTCTCTCTCTCTCTCTCATCTCCTCTCCTCTCTCTCTCTCTCTCGTCTCTCTCGCTCTCTCTCTCTATCTATCTATCTATCTATTCATCCCAGATGAACTTATATACCAGGTCCATCTCTCCAAATGCAATATTCTGGGTTTTGTGGGTTTTTGTTTCCTTGATCCTGTTTAGTCAGTGTCAGATTTGGACTTCACTTTCGTCATTTTGGTTTGTTGTTTTTATCGTGGTTTCTTTAATTAAATAAAGTATACGATGTTCGCTCAACACGCTGCGCTTTGGTCTCCTCCTTTCGACGATCGTGACAGAAAAACCCACCATAAAAGGACCAAGCAGCGCGTCCAGGAGCAAAGGGTCTGGACATGGAAGGAACTGTTGGACGGTAAAGGGTCCTGGACTTGGGAGGAGATCCTGGAGGGTATGGATCGCCGTCCATGGAGCGAGACGGTGGAGAGGCGACGGCGAGAGGAGCAACGGCGTCGGCAGAGCCAACGTCGGAAGGACGAGAGGCAACCCCAAGAAATTTTTTGGGGGGGGCACATGGCTTGGGCGACTGAGCAGCAGGAGGCGGCCACAAGGCAGATGCAGAAGGCTACCAGGTTAAGGGGGCTGACGGAGGCAGAGAAGGGACGGATTCAGGAGGCTACCAGGTTAAGGGGGCTACTGGGTAAAGCAGGGAAGGAAGGTGTAGAGGCTCGGCGAGAGGTACTGGGGTGTGTAACCAGTCCGGTCCGGCCCGTTCCTAATCCCGAGGTACAGCCAGTAGTGTGTGTTCCCCGTACGGTACGGCCTGTTCCGGCCCCTCGCACTAAGTGTACGGTGCGCGTCGCCAGCCCGGTTCGGCCTGTTCCTGCCACCCGCACCAGAGATACGGTGCGCGTCGCCAGCCCAGCCCGGCCTGTTCCTGAGCCTCATACGAAGCCTACGGTGCGCGTCGCCAGCCCAGCCCGGCCTGTTCCTACTCCCCGCACCAGGGATACGGTGCGCTTCGCCAGCCCAGCCCGGCCTGTTCCGGCCACTCGCACCAGGGATACGGTGCGCGTCGCCAGCCCAGCCCGGCCTGTTCCTACTCCACGCACCAGGGATACGGTGCGCTTCGCCAGCCCGGCCCGGCCTGTTCCGGCCTCTCGCACCAGAGATACGGTGCGCGTCGCCAGCCCAGCCCGGCCTGTTCCTGCTCTCCGCACTAGGCCTCATGTGCGTCCCCAGGGTCCAGCAGGCCCTGTTGCTGCTCTCCGCACTAGGCCTTATGTGCGTCCCCAGGGCCAAGCATGCCCTGTTGCTGCTTCCCGCACTAGCCCTGAGATGCGTGTCCTCAGCCCGGTACCTCCAGTTCCGGCACCACGCATCAGGCCTACGGTGCGTCCCCAGGGCCAAGCATGCCCTGTTGCTTCTCCCCGCACTAGCCCTGAGATGCGTGTCCTCAGCCCGGTACCTCCTGTTCCGGCACCACGCACCAGGCCTACGATGCGCCTCAGACGGCCAGAGTCTGCCGTCTGCCCAACGGGGCCTGAACTGTCCGTCTGCCCAACGCCGTCTGAACTGTCCGTCTGCCCAACGCCGTCTGAACTGCCCGTCTGCCCAACGGCGCCTGAACTGCCTGTCTGCCCAACGCCGTCTGAACTGTCCGTCTGCCAAGCGCCGCAGGAGCTGCCCGTCGGTACTGAGCCTGCAAAGCCGCCCGTCTGCCATGAGCCTTCAGAGCCGTCCGCCAGACCGGAGCCGCTAGAGCTCTCCGCCAGACAGGATCAGCCAGAGCCTTCCGCCAGACAGGATCAGCCAGAGCCTTCCGCCAGACAGGATCAGCCAGAGCCTTCCGCCAGACAGGATCAGCCAGAGCCTTCTGCCAGACAGGATCAGCCAGAGCCTTCTGCCAGACAGGATCAGCCAGAGCCTTCTGCCAGCCAGGATCCGCCAGAGCCGTCCAGCCAGGATCCGCCAGAGCCAGCCAGCCAGGATCCGCCATTCAGTCCGGTGCTGCCCCTCAGTCAGGTACTGTCCCTTAGCCCGGTGCTGCTCCTTAGTCCGGTGCTGCCCCTTAGTCCGGTGCTGCCCCTTAGTCCGGTGCTGCCCCTTAGTCCGGTGCTGCCCCTTAGTCCGGTGCTGCCCCTTAGTCCGGTGCTGCCCCTTAGTCCGGTGCTGCCCCTTAGTCCTGTGCCGCCCCTTAATCCAGTGGGGTTTAGTGGGGGGGGTGGTCATGTGGAAGGGGCTACGGAAGCGGAAAGTGACTAAGGTGGGGTGGGGACCACGACCTGGACCAGAACCGCCACCATGGACAGACGCCCACCCAGACCCTCCCCTAGACTGTATGCTGGTGCGCCCGGAGTGCGCACCTTTAGGGGGGGGTACTGTGACACTCTGGCTCCATGGACTTTATTATTGAGCCAGGTTTGTTCATTTTCATTGTTTGGGTGTATTTCTATGTTGGGGATTTCTGGTTGTGCATTTCTATGTTTGGGTTAATTGTTCTTGATTAGTCATATGACTCCCAATCGGAGGTAACGAGTGTCAGCTGTCGGCTCGTTATCTCTGATTGGGAGCCATATTTATACTGTGTGGTTTCACCTGGGTTTTGTGGGTTTTTGTTTCCTTGATCCTGTTTAGTCAGTGTCAGATTTGGACTTCACTTTCGTCATTTTGGTTTGTTGTTTCCAATATTCTGCCAGAGGACATATTATATCTATTTTCTAGAGAGGAGAAATAAATGATTTCCTATATTAATCAACATACCAATCATTGTAAATCCCAGCGGTTGATATAACCTCCTTGATCATCGACATACCGTCTCTGATGTACATACAGTACGTCATGCTGAAAGGCCATCAAAGCTGAAAGAGCTTAGTTTAGCTACCCACAATTCATTTGGTTTCTGTAAGAGATATTCTTTATGATTAACTTCCTTATGTGACTCAATGAAGTAAAAGAACAAACGCTTGTGGGGTCCATCATGTAGGCCTCCTCTCTCTCCTCACATTTGTCAATTAGGCTAATATGACTGTCTGGTTTGCCTGTAGGCTATATTCAGCATCTTTTCCCCCCTTCCTATTTTATTTTCCGTGTTAATGGACTCTTCTCGGGGTGAGGAGGTCATGTATGCATCTGAATGACATCAAAAGAGAAGCAGAAGGAGAAATACAAACAGAGGTAAATGATG